ATCTAATTATTTTCATTGTATTCAATCACCATGCTCAAATTCTAGTGATGCGATTAGTGCCTAACGTAAATCTGCAATGCTTCCACTCGGATATACGTGTAGCTGGTAAGCAATTATTTCATTTGTTGAATAAGCTTTTTTAATAGGCCACCGACACTTACCAATTAATATTATAACTGTCTAATAGCACTGCCCCTAAGGCTTCCATAGGAAGGTTTCGTAGCAAAAATAAGGAGACGTTTTAGGTCAAAAATTGTTAGCGGGAAGGCTTTTATGTATTTTTATTACATGTTTTATATAGTTCGTGTTTTATTCATTTGCATATCAATTCGACAAGGTAATAGGAAGTTGGAACACACCTCACATAGAAACTACCAGTTTTCAGTACAGATTTGATTTGTGCAACGCTAAAGGCTTTGCTGTATCACCTGTAGTATCATTCAAATATCCCATGAAGTCAGTTTTATTCACTGCCATCACCATTTACTATCAACTATCATAGTTCGAGCTACTCTTACCATAATTTTTTCATTCGGTATTCTTTGTTAGTTTCGACGCTAATAAAAACATTGTCAAACGATTGATTATTAGAAGCCTTTTAGTATATCGTTTATCATTTTCGGAAAGGCTGCCATACTGGCACTAGCCTAATGCATACTTTCTTATGTCTATATATTAGGGAAAAACGCAGGCCATTAAATCTCTTAATATAACCAATTCCATCTGTTGGTAAGATGGCATTGCATCCGATTTAAAATATAATTTTGCAAAATTAATAAATAGTTTTGTGTGTAGTAATAGAGGTTTTCAAGTCAAGGTCTCTAGTATTTAAATGGTTGATTCTTTGTTTGTATCATCAATTTCGAGATAGCTACGTGGGCGAACCGTTTCGCCATTCACTATCACCATCTATATATCAACTAGGTTGAAACTATCAGAATCCGGGCAGGCTTTATTTAAAGATGGTGAAAGCTATAATGGATCTGCGACCTGCGTCAGCTGCACTAATTTATCTTCAAAATACACTATTGCTTGCATAGGATAGATTATTTCAGGATCTATAATATTGTCAAGAATTACAATCGTGTCTGTGCGTTTATGACCAAGATGAAGGAGATTTGTTGTGGTTACAGAAGCTTCTATTACAACAATGACATAATGAAATTATAATCTCTGTGCTGATCTTTCGCCCTGATATTTATTAACTAGATTTTAATTTGAATCTGGGATATTTTGCTCTGAGTGTCGTTTATTATCCAGCTATTTTTTGGCATTCTCTCTAGCGGAACGTCCTGGAGTTACTAGGTTCAAAGCACCGTGTTGACGACTACGATATTTTTAACAGTACATACGGCTACCTACGTGCGGCTACGCATGCCTTATTAGCTCCTTCTTTCGGTGGGCCTCAAATTGTTTCGAATATTAGTGCTTGTATTTCATTTATCTCGTGTACTAAACCAAAACTTAATGGCTTCTCCTAGCGGACTGATCTTGTTTATAGCACTAATTCTGTGCTGTGTCTGTGTAATAATGTGTTAGTATATAATAATGGGAATACACCCCGCGTGTACCAAGATATTGTCTGTATACAGCAATACCTTAAATAAATAAATAAACGCCGGTAAAGAAATAGCGCCAATGTGTGACGCATATGACCAGGAGAAATTACAAGGACTGGCCTACGTTATGGCTAACTATATATGAAAAAACAGGATGCTTTTTCGTTGTGTTTTTTCTCAACTTTTTGTTAAAAAGAGAGAATATTACTGGCTGATTTTTTTTTTTTATAATATACTGTAAAATCTGTTATTCTTAGACAGTGTCGGGTAACACGTTGCTAGTACTCAGCCTTGTTTAAATACTGGCTTATTTCTAAATATATATGTACTAAACGAGTTCAGTCATCCAGGAATCATCCAATAATCATCTCAACGAAATGTCTCTACTGAAACAAATATATAATTTACTTTCGGTCATCTGGTACGATACTTAACTGAGTTGTTGACTTACCTTAAGCCCCTTAGTTACTTCCACATAAGATTCTGTTTTCCGAAACTTCTCCCTTATATTCTGTATAAGTCTTATAACAGGGTTGACATATTGAGCCTTCTGGTTAAATTTCTCAGCTTTGTATTAAGAAACTAAAGCGGTATCAGGATATCGGGCAGACATACTAAAAAGCCGTGCCTGCGGATCTAAAGACCTTGAATAACCTAGCTCGACTTATTACAGATACTAATAAACCTTCCAATTTCTGTTTTGACGAAAATAGTCGAAAAGAGAAGTCGTGCTCGAAAACTTTCTGATCATTAAGCCCACCGTGAACCTTTCAACAAAAGAGGTTACGAAGCATCAGCTTAATTTTAATCTAACTAAATGGATGCAAATATTTTTCAAAGCTGTGCGTGTGCACTGACGCTGATAAAGAAGTTGCTTCTGAATAGCACCTTGCTCCCAAGTGGTTTTGCATTTATTAAGAATTACGCTTAGTTTTCTGATGCTTGCTCTTTACGACAATTGGCCAAACCATCGTTATAAGGCATCGTTGTGATTTTTTTCTCTTCAAATTGATTTAAGTAGCCACTACGTTCTTACGCTATTTTGTATCTGGAGATAATCGCTCCATCATCCCCATACAATTCTATCTCGGGTGGACTTCTTCTTTGCACTTTAGGGAGGTTTATGTTGGAACGATTTTAGCAAAAGTCAAAACTGTTACACCATAAAACATATACATATTTTTTTTTAGTTCAGAGTCTCTCACAGATAAGCCTCTATGCTATATCCCTTTACAGTCTTATAACCCTAATAGTACCTTCCCAGCTTTTCTAAACAACCTTCAACACCTTTTTAAGAAAAGTGGGGAACAATGCATTGAATTGTCGCTCAATAGCAAAAGATAGCCTTGCAAGTTGGAAAACACGCTGATCCTTCTGAATGGTCTCTTGCATTGGCGGCACAAAATAATCACATACTGCACGTGTTACTTACACGTGTGGACCTACTTGTATTCAATCTGGATTGCAGTTCACTACTGTGTTGTTTTCTAAACCAAATAAAAACCTCCTAAAATATATGTTACCATTCCTTTACGACCTTTGAATTAAGGTTTAGTGCCTTCAGCTTACGTGCTCACAACTCGGTAAATCCGAACCTGTTGACCGATACGGGTTTTCCAAGTAGAGCATGGAGATATAGTTTCTCAATAGAGTTTTCTTTGTGGTCGTCTAACGTATCTCAAGGATTTTGCTCGAGTCCACTGTAGCTTAGAACTTCTATCCTAGCTAAGGTCATTTTAAAAATAGTCACTAACAAGGCATAATGGCATAATGTAAAACCTCTAAGCTGTTATCTAATGATATTATAATGAGCCAGCTAATCTTTGTAAACCTTAAACTGCCAACTTTGCCATTGCGAGTGGCTAAAACTAGTTAAATTGCGAATTAGTTTGGTAGTATGCTATATCAAATGGCTCGGCTAATACTTATTTGTTAAATAATTATCACTCTTACTGTGATTTTGTAACCTATTGGTGTCATCGTGTCTTCCTGCTTTGATGTTGATAGTCACACTTTTAGTATCGTTCAGTCCAAAACTGTATTAAAAATTGTACTATATTTGAATACTAAAACAACTAGAATTGTGTTTTAAGCTGTATACTAGCCCAGTAATTAGCAAGTTTAGGAGAAAAAAAATCAATTTGATCGTTCTGGCACAATTTTTTGGACGCGTGCCTGAGTGATATATGTTTTTGAATACTCCATTATATATATATATATATATATATATATATATATATATATATATATATATATATATCATCATCATGAAAAATGTCATCAGTAAGATTATATATATATATATATATCTCACTGATGGCATTTTTCAGAAATATATGGATATTTTGTATAACCCATATGCACAAAACGGCAACTTTAAAAAGGTAAAGGCGGTGCGTGGTCTCAATTGCTACAATTTTATAAGAAAATCGCTGTTATAATGAGCACTGCGGGATTACTCACGTCTCCTTCCATTCGAGCGCAAGGATTTTTTGGTGGTTTGGGAATCACGATATATGGATACAATGGATACCTCGGCGCTGGAGGAGCAGCAGTTGGAAAAGCAGGCGCAGGTGAAGGTCTCAGTTTCTCAGCAGGAATCATTAAAATATCAACGGCACGGGTCGTGGTAATCAAGGCAATCAAAACAGCAATTAATAACGTAAAGTACGTTCGAAGTAGTACATTTTCCCAAATGGATAGCCAGCAACTAAAAGTGCTCCTCATCACGGCCTACCAAGTCTATGGTTGATAGTCTGACGTTAGGATCTTCTAGGCGAATTAAATTAATCACTTGAGCAAAATACCCTAGAGCAGCTTCCTTGAACCTAAAAGACTTTGTAGGTAGCGATAAATTTCACAAAGAAAATATTAGTCCTGTTGACTAACGCACTGAACTGGCGGCACAGAAGCAAGAAAGTAAAGAACTCCTAAATAATCAAAATAATCTTGGGCTATCAGAGACCCAGGGAAAGGGTACTAAACGCATACGTGTAACTATACACCGCAAGCATCGTCTTCTCTTTTTTATTGTTGCAATCTGGTCTTGTGTGTTGGCTGTATCATGTATTCGAGTAACTGCGCAAGCGTTATACGCAATACTGGTTACGTGTCCCTTATGACACAACCCTTGACAAAACCTTAGCTGAGAAGATTATGTAGCAACAACTAAACACAGTACTGATTATTATTACAAATTCTATAGGATTACGCTATCACTTCTTGGATTTTATGCGAGATCGAGCCAAGATAATAAAGATTAAGTAAAGATGTACTTGTCAGGTTATATAATTAAACAAATAATAGCAGTTAGAAATACACAACTTCACAAAGACAGTGGTTGTCATAAGCAAAAGAAATATTAATAAAAAGATATACCCGTAAGCCAATAATTTGTCTTTACACAGGGTTTAATATCGGAAGCAATCCGACAAATTCAAGTTCACTTTTTTTATTAAGCCGAGAAAGACAATGCAAAATGCACATGTATAATACATCCGTCATGTATTACATTTTGGTTTCGGTACTATAATTATTATATTGACAGATTAGCCTAAAATCACAGATTACACGTAGACTACCGAGATACGACAAATCAAATGATAACATTGACATACAATTATTTAGAGATACGAGAACGAAAAAAATTGTATATTTTCTTTTAACAGCGGTCGATATCATTTGTCATCTTCAAAGGTTATTCTCGTATATGTTATTTACTCAATTTAGAGACTTGATTGCACAATAACTATTTTATGATGAAACTTTGTAAATGTTTTACAAACTATCATAATAGGTTGGACAATTTGTAATTAAATTGGAATGTAACTGTTAACCCAAAATCTTTAGAGTATATATGTTAAGTTGTCTGTGACAAAGTTAAGCGTATTTGGGCACAGCTCTGAACATGCCATTAAGCACATGAGTATACATACATGAACTTAAACGTGTTTTTTGGTCCTTTAGAACTCTCGCTATAATAATCTAAGTTTATATCCCATTTTTATTTTATCTCCAAAACATTTTATTACTTTTTACTGATATTTCATATTGCATTTGATTATTTGGTGTAGTTTCTGCCGAAGTACCTTTAACAGTGTATAAGCAAATTGCAATGTTGGCTTGCTGCATTCGTAAGCGCCTTATATATTGCTGGCTTCTGCGGTACAGTAGGGGTTAGTAGTTAAGTTCATGGGCAAGAAAAAATTAGCTCTGAGTTAGGAAAAAGTTAGTTCGATGCTGCTTCAACTGTGTAACTAACTTTTCACTAAACGTGAGCCCATTTTTTTTTTTAACTGAGAGCTCACTCTTATTCAGTTGTTAGTCTGTGTTTGCTCCATCTTAAAGGGCCATTTATTCATCCCCGTGCTAGACGTATACAGAACACACTGCCATCGGCAATATACGAATGTGTACCAAGTCTGGCTGGCTATCAAAGAAAATCTATTTGTGTATCGTTGCGTGTTAGACACAACGCCTACATTTGTTGATAGGAGCTTTTTGAGAAAATATATATGTCTAATAACGTAATTGGTGTTCGCCTTTCATATGTCACAAAACCAGATCAACAGAATGGACGTTGAACGGGCCCTATTATTTAATTTTCATGGATGCGAAATAGTAGAATACAGAAAAGAAAGCCGCGTCGATGATTTGCCAAAGAGTCATAAATTAGCCATATCACCATCTCCGATATTATATTTATATACGTATATATTAAAATATATACATATTGAATCCAATGATGAACTCGATGAATGAGACAAGCAATTTGATGACAATAAACGCAGTCAACAAATGTGACCCATAATGAATTACAGCCAGTCTGTAAACAACAAAAACAGAGGCCCAAACCAATACAAAAAACTGAATTATTAGATACAATGTTTCTCCAGTGAAATTATTTTCAAAGTTAATTTAGTTATTAGTTAATAATACTTTCATATCATAGAGATTATTTATCAAAAAGTTTCACACGACTTGAGTTTTGAAAAGTTCGATTTTTAACTATTGATACGTTTTTAAACATGTATTGACGGACGGCAATCGCGTTTTAAACAGTAAGAGTTTCGCCTATACCGAATAGCACAAGATTTTCGAGTCGCATTGAAAAGCCATAGAACTTAGTAGGCATTTGTAAGTGATTAATTATTAGGTCGTTCAATATGAAACATGATAGAATAAACGCTAGCTTCTCGAATTTTTTTACAGGCCTGTTTTTTATGTTTCATCAACGTGCACATTATTATTATATATAACCTTCTCCCATTTGGATAGTAAGTTATCTATAACATTTAATGCAGAGTTTTCTTATCATTTCTTTCAGTTATCCGCAATCGAGGAACTAGGACTCATGGAGCTGAGGTGGACAATACCTGCATTAAATAGCTAAACAGATACCATAAATTCTGGCCGCTGTATACTCCTTGAGAGTGATGTCCCGCCGATTTAGTTAATTTTATTGCAACTATTTTTAATATACGATCTTGAGGTATAAAAACAGAGATAATGGCTTCATATGTTTGGTATGTATTTATTACTATAGTTTTGTTACTATTACCTTTGCCTGTTTTGACTGGAACTATTACTATATTATATTATCAACAGATCGTAATTTTAATACTTCTTTTTTGATCCTAGAGGGGGTGGAGATCCGATTATATATCAAGATATGTTTTGATTTTTTGGTCATCCTGAGGTTTATATTTTAATTTTATCAGGGTTTGGAATTATTTCACTCACTAATATTATCATCTGTGATTATCATGGAAAATCAATTTTTCAACAAGAATGGATTACTGTTGTAACGTAAGAATAAAGAGAAACAAGAACCTTTACAACTGTTCTTGATCCTTACTCAATTCACAAGCCCCCCATTTGTCCGATTCCTTTATCTTATGAATTTCATCGAGGAAAATAGCTAGGATTTTTTACATATATTAAATCTAAGTGTTCACACCCGTTCACTTTGTAATTTATCAGCTCCTAACGCGACTCTCAACTCTCCATAATACACCGTTGCATCCCATTTTCGATTTGAAAACTTAATTCCCGGGTTTTTTTAAACCAACGGTTTGTGAAGTAGAACCTTTATTGAATACAAAATGTATACGGCGAGCTGTCTCCGTCCTTGCAGTTTCAACATAAAGTTTATATTATAATCTACTAAAATTTTCTAGTTTTTCATGACGCACTACAACTGGCCCGTTAAGAGTCCGAGTAACTATATCAGAGTGTACGGTGACAGACTGTAAAAATATATTTTGAATACAAGAAAAATCCATGAAATGTCGCAATGTTAACACAGCGTTATTTCAAAAATTGAGATATGCATTTGTGACGCTTCACACTGAACAACCTAATAATAGACATAATATAATGTACACAGATACTGGAAGTACCATACACGATGGTACCTCAATGCATTATATTAGCTAGTAATTACGTGCTCATATAGTACGAATTTGAGTAAAATGACGATCTCAACCAAGTTTCAAAAATGATTCATGGCGATTGGTATGGTTAATTCGAAGTGTTTTTCAAAGTCGTAATCCCAATATAAATATACTCGTTTTATTATACTAGAAAATATTAGAAGAACATCTTCGTTTCTACGATTTTATATGCCCGTCTATGGCTGTACTCTTCAGCGTAGCATACGACACTGGTACCATAGAGCCATTTCTGGATCTGTTTTTCGCCAAAAATTAGATCATTGTTTTACAGAAACAAAAAAGTCTTTAATAGAACTGCGAACTCATGATGGGTTTCGTGCTTACAAGTCAGCTAAACCCTTCCATGGGTATAGCGAAACGTATAATTCGGTTAGGATAGTCATAAGAAAATTACTCTAACCGTGCTTGCCAATTAAGTTCGGATACATATGAACTCTGAAATAGACATATTTGCTTCGTGTTGAAAATCAATTGTTTTATTAGACTATTACAAAGCTAAGACTATTCTTGTTTAAATAAAATTAACTTGAACCGAACTCTGACATCAATTCAATGTAAGAACGCAAGCAATCAAGGGTATGCTCTTCACCAATTTTCTTTGGGAGTAACTATTACATTTTTCAGGTTTTCGGCCTCTGATGACACGGAGTGTGCGATCAAGCGCGCTGACGCAAGAGCGTGAATATATGCAACACTTTCATTGCCTCTTGTCACTTTATTAAACGTTAGCTCAGTGTGTATCTTTACTAAACTTTGTTTAAAAACCTGTTTGGTAACTCTCCATACATGTTTTGGGTAGGCTGTGGAGAACGAGCAGCCAACACGCACAAATTAGCGACGCCTTTGCAAGCGCAATGAGGTCAGCTCACATTTCTTGTATGCACGAACATACTTCATAGCAACGACGGCAGAGGATCAGATGGTTTACCACTCATTCTCTATCACAGGAATGATCATTTAGAAATACGGGGTATTACAGGAAACCAACACACTCTAGCCGTTGTCTATTCTAACGCTGAAGGACTAGGCGTATAAGGCAGATTCGTGCACTTCGTGAGATGATTGGAAAAAACTCAAGAAAATAACGCAAGACTGGCCTTTAAGGACTTTTCTTAAAGGTGAACACGGTCAAAACAAACTTTCTACCTTCCAGTGGTGAGGGAGTGGGAGGATATGTCATGATATGTGCTCATTCGCGTGAAATTTCAATTTACTTTACCAACAATTAAATATAATGTGAATATAGTGGGGATGTTTTTGATCCAGGACTATGTGGCAAAATTTATCGGAAACACATGCCAGAATATATTCGTAATGCTGATTGCCATAGGTGGACATCTTGTTTAGCTGAAAAAGACTCTTTCTTCTGCAAACAAATGGCTTATTGAATTAATCATGTTGGAATCATGTTTGTTCAGAAACTAATGTAATAAACCGAGTATATATATCATTGGGTTGGTTTTCAATAACCTTTAAATTAAGATTAATTAAGGTAAAAACAAAATAAGTAAGGATGTGTGTGGTTTCGAAACATGTTTTTAGCTGACTGTACGTTCGCTGCTGACGCAGCTTCTTGTCGTTCTATATGTCACACTGCAAGACTTACAAAACACTCTTGGCTATTCTAGCTTAAAACTGAATTACCCAAGTTAGCGTGAATTTCCTTTATATAGAGAAGTTATATGTGCCAAAAAAAATATAGTTTCGTACAAATAGTTTATTGAAAATCATGTAGACTAACTTTTTCCTCCAGGCGAGCGCCGCTGCTGTTGTGGTTAAATCCTCATGTAAGATGAAGTACTTAATGCTGAAGAGATACACTTTCAAAAAATAGTCCCATTTGAAGTCATCCGAGGCAACAATCGGGAAAAGCTGAAAAACAAGACAGTACTTATACAATTTTATAGCCAGTAATAGATGGGCTAGGATCAGGCACCTTAAAACCATATAAACTTTGAAACTTACTTATGAACCTAAAAAAGAGGTACAGGCTAAAAACCATACCTTCTTTCACCTACCTATTTTTTTGCTCCACTATATGCAAAAAAGATATATCATGAGTTTATTTTTTAGACAGACCAGTGGTAATGAAACAGCTCTCAAAAACACAATGTACTAAGTTTTAGAAACTAGTCTTATTTTTTGCGACATTGTTATGTGCGAAATCTGGGAATACTTCATTAGGCCTGCAAAATACCATAAACACTACTTTGCTCAAAACCACCTGAGCGTCATATTACCGAAGTACGATAATGAGCTATATGAAAGATCTTCCGATTTGTGCACAACAATAAGATGAGATTTTTTGGCTTTCGACGTCCACAATTTACCCTAAGCCGAAATACTGAATAAAGACAATATTTAATTAACCTGATAGTACTACTCTTTTCAGTGTAGTTTACATTTTAATATACATAGCCGAATTTACATACTCCTGACGATCTCATTATATGTATAATCTAAGGAACTACAATGACAAATGTTACCGAAATTGACGCATTGACTGACGAATTGACGCAACTCAATCAAAAAATCACGCCTAACATCCCGATGTCTTATATTACGTTCTATGAACACTGTTCATCGTTTTCGTTCCAATATATGTAAGCTTTTTCAATCTATAAATAGAAGATCTATTAAGGTTATCCTAACAATGCGATCAAAAGCACATTCTCATAAAATGTTGTTTATGAATATTATTGGATGAATATTATTATTATATATTCCAAAGAAATTCTTCATCCAACTTTAATCATCGAGATTTTTCTAGTTCTTGTCGTTACGGCGGTCATCCTATATCGATTGCTTTTTTCGATTTTAGTTATGACAAATTCAGTGACCTAATTCTTCTCAAATGTTTCGCTCCAAGTCTATGCAACACAACTAAAATTTGAGAATTTACTTTAAATGCAGTAGGAGTGCGCTTCTTCATCGTGGAGGTTACCTCGCTCAAATGCTTTGAACTGTTTTCCTGTTAGCGCTAACTTTTTAAAGTCAGTTTTACAATCGCGTGCACCCAGGTGTACATTTGCAAAAGCCTAGGCTTCTGGGTAAGGATCCACGATAGATTAGTTTGCGGCTAAGATCTTTATACACTAATCGCATCAAAATCGATAGCTACTTAATATTCAACTAAAATAAATAATAAAATTTCAAAGAATGTTATTGCTTAAATAAATCACAATAACCATAATGAAGTATACATGAAATCATATTTGTGTCTGAACCCCATTAACCTTTAAACTCCCACTTTATTGAGTCCGACTATAAAGGCAACGTTTTTTTCCCTGGACGCTGCTAGCAAGACAGCTGAAGGACGTATTCTCGCTGTTTAGTAATTAAATACGTTTTGCATGAGATATAAGGAATCATTATATGGATCGAAATTATCATATAGTCGTATCCTGATCTCGATTTCAAGCAATATTTTACTTACTTGACCTCTTCGGGCTTTGTCTGTATCGACAGTCTGAGCGCCATCTACGGTACATGTAAGACCAAGCAGCGCACCGTTTTCCGCAATCTCAAGAATCAATCTAGGCTGTATTTTTTATTTTCAAAACAAAATGTCGCATGTTTTCTTCTGAACTATGGTCATTACAAATGGACGACGGTATTATGATTATTGGTGCAATCTACAATGTCACTACAGCCAATACAAGCATTCTTAAACAGTGCGTCTTTATGTACCTTTATGTATCTAACTACGCTACAGCCATGGCAAATTTTCAGTTCTTCTACAGCTGCAGAAACGTATCAAGTTCAATCAGTTTGTCGCTCAACGATCGCTTCAGAGTGACGATTCTACCCCCAACAATTTAAGCACATAGTGCTTAAAGAACAAACCGTACTCTATCCATAAATACCTTCAAATTGGTACATACCGATCTTGCGACAGCTGCGGAAGTCATTCGTACGCGATTTGTACGCCAGTTAAAAAAATTAAGCGTTTCAAGTTTGCAACGTGCGGAAGCTCATTTACATCGCTGGGAAGAAAACCTGCCTTGTATCAATAAACTTTCCCATTAGATAGCCGTATTCATCAGAAGACAAAGAGGATTCTATTATCCAACTGTAACAACTAAGTATGATGGACTTCGTGGAAAATGACAAACGCGATAATCTAAACGGGAATAGATTTGGCAGCGTAGAACACTCTTCCAAAACCTTAAGGAAAGAGAGCGGAGTGAGCCACAAGTAAAGCAAGTCAGTTTTGCCAAATTACAGCCATCGTCACTATTGAGTGTTACCTGAAGATCAACGCTAAAATAATCCTCAAACTGCTCAAATATATCAAATGTCGCTGCAAATGGGTTTGTACCAGAAAACCAGGTAAATTGTCTACAGTAGGATCAACGAGTGGGCTTTATTGCTCCTAATAAATTCTCAAAGGTCAAGCCGTTGGCTGAGGTCTGTAAAATTTGCTTGCCGCTCTATATGAGTTTTTCCATTTTGAATTAATAAATCGGCTATTTACACTTTAGGTGTTGAACCTTTGGCTGCCTTTTCATAAATAAATAAAGTCTTTACATAGGCTCATCATAAAAAGAGATTCCTACTCAGTAAAAAAAGTACCCGTTCTGGTTCTACTGCAGCTTGTTTCTTGGCGAAAGGCGCGAAGCTAGAAGCTAGTTTTCATAATTATACATGAAGGACAAATCTCTCTTTAGGTTAAAAAATTATCAGCACGAAAGGATAATTAGGGCTATTCAAAACAGCGAAAGTTAATCGGCCGATGATTTACATCGGGCGTTCCCTAGAATATAAAAAATTAAGTTTTTAAAACACCGGAAAAGGGCTTAAATTATCAATTTTTGCTTACACTTTGTGTTGCTCCGAGTGAGAAAATGGAAGATTTTCTATTCAAATTATTTGCATAATTACTACCGATCACAAAGTGAATTGACTACAGTGTATTATTACATTTCGGTGAAACTAACTTATTAAATTAATATACCTTGAATCTTTTGGAAAAAAACCGAAGTGCTTGACTAATTCAGCCGCTCGACAAGGAACTGGTAATAGCAAAAGTGGCCTACTCACATAGCGGTCGGTATCTCCAAGCGATTCTTGCATTTCCATGGCGCTTGATGTCATGAAATCCCAGTCTTGGTGGAAAAAGAAGCTAAGAGCGTCCAAGCCCGCTGTCATTCGAGCATAAAGTTTCCGCAGTGGGAGTTGTTTTCCTGCCACTCGGCACAGTAAAAAATCTGCTATCTCCATAGGCAACCGATGGAATAGCAACATTCTATAAACACGAAAAAAGCCATGATCAAATATAGTATGTTGTACTTCTTGTATTAGTAGCCTATTAAACACATGACAACATTATCCTGGGATATATCGTGAAAATACGAAACAATTTCTGAACGTAACTTGTGATTTATTACTTGTATATATCATTTACACCCCTCGTGAAATAGACTCCTGCTGCACACCGTACCATATTTTTTGCTTCGGACAGCTGAGCTTCACCAAAAGAATATCTGCGTTAGGTTTATTTAATTAGCTTTACATCCCGTAGTGCTATTAAACATTCCATCAGACGGCTAGTGTCTAGCATGAAATGAGCTGTGTCTATGTTTGAATTCGAACCCAAGTGATTATGTGTCCCTAAATTTAGTGCGCGAACACGTTTCGAGGACCCTTGGTGCACACCCCAGCTGCCCTAAATTCCGGTTTTACTTTGTGTCTTCTTTACTTGGAGAAGATTTTTTATTTATAAATTGTTAAACAAATGTGAGTGCCTTGACAAATCGACATGGATACATACCTAAGTCGAAACTCCCACAGATTGCTGCACACAACTGTATGTGGAAATCTAATACAATATATAAGAGGGTGAGTAGCTACAATCCGATAGGAGCAGAGTTGCATTTCCTGTCCTGAAAGACTCATCACTCTTCCAAGACAGGAGTGAATTATAGGCACCGAACGGTTTCTTCTATCCGTTTTAGTTGTCGCACGCCTGTAAACAAATAGACCTTTAATAGTTTTGTCAGACCTAACATCTAATGTCCGTCACCTTTCATCTCACCAATTTTTTTATTTTAGACAATAAGGTATGTAGGGAACTATGAATTTGTATGGATACGTAAATTGCACCATTCATATTTACTTGAAAGCAGCAACGATGATACAGTTGACAACCAGGTCTGCAGGTATGAGGTCAACCTTCGTGTTCGAATTCGCATAGACGGCAGTCAAAGACCCTGTACCCAATGCCAGGAAAAATCCTGTCGGCCCGTTAATATTATCAATCCAGCCCTTAAAATACGATACGTAAGCGGAGTGTTTATTATAATATTTCAATTCCATCGTTTATGTTCTGAACTATTGTAAACTTTTATGTTAATAGGACGTTAAACGCAACACCAGCTTTATTCTCGAGAACTTTGTCGTCGGACTTCAGAACCCTATTGTGATTTATATATACGGCGTTATGTATAATAGTAAAGAACCTTAAAATAGTCAAAGTTAATATAGAATGTTAAAAGTTGGATATTAGGCTTACGAAGAGACGGCACTAAAAATTTCAACTTTATCAGTTTTAATGTCATTTCTTTATTTTAGCTTTGTTTTGCTGGACATGTGTCACTATTCTGATATCACTGCCTATGGCCGTCATGGCAACTCAGTACTGAGTTCAGTATATTGGACCACATGAATGCATCGTCGGACATCACTTAGCTTTAAACACAATGCTTTATTGGCATCTGTACTATATCTGCGCTTTGGCAAAGCTGAACCAGTATCTTCCTTGACCAAGAGGTATTATAAGGTAAAAACATAAGCACTTTCGGTCCGTTTTTAGTATTCTCTTTGCGTGAACATGGCATTTCTTGCCGTATTGCTACCTTCTACAGGTACTCACAAATATATACTTACCATGTAACGATAGTTATAGCATTCGTATTCGGCCATAGACACACCGATTTTCGGGCACAGCCAACTGAGAGAGAACGACGGGGAGACGCCCGCTTGGTGTACTATTGCTCTGCCACTTAAGATACGATACAGGTCTAAACACTGGCGAATCAACCAGGAATCACTGACGTAGATGTGTAGAATTTGCGCCGACAAGCGAGAGAATGACAGGGTTACGGTAGGAGCGGTACTTAACCACTGTATAGTGTCACGTATATTTATACTTGTTCATACTATTAAAAAAATATGGATCTAACTAGTAAACCGTTGTACTACATTTAATCGTAGTACAGAACAAGAAGCAATTTTTGTCAACAGTGTAGCACATTCAGTTTTTCCATGTCCTTCACCTTTACTACTTCACTGTTCATCTACTAGTTTTTTTATATAGCATCCGAAAGTACCTCCCCCCCCCCCTTTTGTATACGTTGGGCGGCGAATAATTTTACAGCGGTTTCAATTAGAAAAAGGAAAATTTCAGGTTAAAAAGTGCAATTTCAACACTTACACCAATTCGCCTTCTGGGGACAGCTGACGAACTACGACTGAATAGTTGTGTGGTCTCCACAGTGAAAACTTTATAATTGAGCAGCCTGTTCAAAACTGGTTTGCGACGTTCAAGATTAGAATTTTGGAGCCGGAGGATTTGATTGATCATCTAAGGCCGATAAGGATCGATTGATTTATGTCCCAACCTAATACAGCTGAGCTCACCAAGCCACAGCCATCCTTTATTTAATGCTAGGTGTTAAATTACTTAGTACGTCAGTCGCCTCCTTGACAGCAACTTATTTCTACGCCCACCAATCCAATCCTTTGGATTCATTTTCCATTTCTTGTGGCACCTATCCGGTTCGAATGGTGGTGGTATGCATGGTAATTTAATCATTATATAAAGTCAATTCTGCTTCAAATTTAGGTCTATAAACCCAGTGAGCAAAATTTAATGATATAAATAGTAATGATATGAAATGTTTTGTGTATATTATTTAGTATTAGAGAATCTAGTATTTTATCTAAACTGTTTCGAGTATAGAGTGCATGTACTGTTAAGTAAATTTATATGAACTTCACAGCGTTCATAAAGACGACTATCGTTAAATGCAAAATTCGATGATGATACGACTTGTAAAGATTCATATTTTATAATATCTAGCATTTTAGACGGAGCGGAACCACCCACTTATGTATATGCGGTTCCAAACTAAGTCGCCAAATTTTGTTGCAAATATGCGAATGACTTTTTCATAAGCCATCCCAGAAAATGTTTTGTGCTTCACTTACAGAACCTCTTAGGATGTTTGCAAAGAATGTTGGAATTGGCAATTCAATTACACTTGAAAAATTAGCATTTTTGGGATCTCTGCGTTTCATAATAATTTAATTAACTATTTAAAATTACTGTAATTTTAAATATTATATTTAAAAAATGATAATAATAAAATATGTATATTAGAATCGCCCATACAAGACGTATGTGCTATCAATGCAATATAAACCAAATAACTTTAGAGACATATACTCTGGCTTACCCTGTTACTTTAGACCACCGTGGGCTTCGCCGTTAATTCGAGTATAACAAATACCTGGACAGTCTTTTGGATAAGGATAAGATCAAGGAGGTATATATTTCTTCAAATAGAAAGTAATATAGGTGTTCCTTTCAAATTAACATAGTTTTTCCGATGCTTTCTTTGTTTATGGCAGTAATCCGACGGTAGCTCCCATAGAAGATAACGCTACATACTGCGATTTAACGCTAGGCGACTTGTACTAGTGAATTTTAATAAAAATTTGTAGATATAATACCTACCGGGTGCCCAATTGGCCCATACAATGAAATTAAAAAACTGGAATTCTTGATGTTCTTATACCTGCAAAAAATAATGGAAATAAAGTACTTTTTCAACGGGAGTTTATAGCCATAATACATTCACAGATTTTTAAAGAATCCATTAACGAGACATCAAGCGAGAAATAAAAAAAAATTTTTGCTTAATTATTCAGAATTATATTGTCTAAAGTTTCGTTCATGGCTTCCATTCTTACTGCCGCAGAAATCCCTATCCTTTTGCGAAAGCAACGGCTTAAATTAGACATACATCTATCAAAACAATTAATAATTAAAATAACTTAATGAATTTTGTACCCGACTCATTGATGCGGCGATTTTTTGTTATTGTTGTTCTTGGACCAACTTATATAATACTATATATATATATACATATAATAATAATAATAAGGGAACCCTAAAGGTTCCCTTAGATGTCTCATTTTCACAACATGATCTTTTTGTAGTTCGCTAAATTCAAAAAACGGTAGAAGAATACAGAAATAGTTGGACCTTTTTTTGATTGCTACATTCAGATTCAACAAAAGCGCATTAAGATTGTACAGGTCTCCTTCTTGCCCCTCTTTCTCTATAAGGAGGTTATACTAGAGCGCCCACAGCGTTCCAAACTTCGGAGCATTTTTGCAAAGTATAATGCTGTATTCTGCAGTCTGACATTTGACCAACCTTTCATGAGTTGCTTTTGATAAAATTTTGCGTAATCTCCGCACTTTTCGAACTAATGCAAAACAAAAACTACTAGCAAAGAGCATTTTTCTCAAAACTGACTTATCTAACTCGATCAAAATCCATACCGTAGAACGCGATACCTATCGCGATATGCTTAAATTCGGTTGCCTGCTCATTTGTGTCAAACCTAACGTATTGTGGAAGCTCCACCTTTCCTTTAAGGAAGTGAGCACACACGTGAACTAGTGGAATCTCGATGTTAAAATAATATGTTAACGCCCTAATTTAAGTTATTTATACTACTATATTACATATACTATATTATTATATTATATACTGTGGGTAATAAAAGGCTCACTAATGTTCACACCCCGACAAATCGGACCGAAAGTCAACTATAATTTTGCGCGGTATAACGCGAACTATATTTACGATAAAATGAAACCCTAATATAACAACTATATTAACATTACGAAAGGATTACCATAGGGAGTTTTTTGCGTTATGTAATATGCATGCCTTGATGTATTCGAATGATACGACTGTGTATTTTCTGTCTAATAATGGGATTAGATACAGCACTTACGGTTTTTTACTTACTGGAAAGGGTTCTTTGGCTGTGGCAACGACTACGGAAGGCCGCACGATTGCTGCAGGGAGTCCAGACTCAAAAACGAGCTCTTCGGCGAGACGTTTAGTAAAAGTATATGTGTTTGGGTAGGCGCCGAGAAGATGCGGGGTAGCGGCTTCCATAGCTGCCGGTGGCAGGCGTGCCGTTAACTCTAACAAATCATCTGCTCTTAGATCAAATCTACAGCCACAGCGAATATACATCAATAGATGTTCAGGTTATTTTTATTAAAAAAGGATGAGTCCTCATTCATGAAGTATTATATCGGGTTTATAAGTTCTTCTATACAGTACAGAAGCCCTTCACGCATATGATAATAATCCAATATGAACTGCTCCGTGTAACTTTTTTTAACGTAGCGTTAATTCTCCTGTTCTTAACAATCTAATATCCTCCAACAGAGTTTGGTCGCAAACTTACTTTGAATCGCAGCGTAAGCTCTTACGTAATCCCAGTAAATAAAGAGGTTTACGTGGAAAGAAATAGTGACCCAGCGTTCAAGTACCTAGGCATCCAGCGTCTACTCAGTGACATACGCACTTGTCACCCAAACTGCCCTGCATGGATCTTTGGAGTAACAGACTATAGCAAAACAATCCGCCACTGCGAAGTCTAAAATAGAGCTCCGATGCAAGAAAATTCCATTCATGGTATCTTGGTTTGACAGCTTAAGCCGTATACTGTCTTTAAAAAGCTCACTGCTCTTTATATTCTTTTTTTTTTCTAACTGCCTTGCGATAAAACCTATAAATATACATATATACCTTCTTTACCAGTGGTATTTATGTCATTCTGAGGTACTTATTCGTTGCACCGTGCGAAAAATAAAGTCTTTGTTCAAACGGTAATTCAAACGTAATTCGTTGCGAGAAAATTTTGCCTAGAGACATAATGAGTACGTCTTGCCACGTAAGGCAGCTAAACCGCAAACGTAAAGGTATTAATTCACCAATCTATTTTTAAGCATCTATTTTTCTTTATTTTTACTTACCCTTTGATTCCTTAATATGTATTTTTATGTTTCACATTTATTTTTGCTCCGAAATAGCTATTTTTGTACGAACAACTCAAAGCAATTGAAATACTAAATATATTTTTGATACAATTTTATATGAATACTACTGCCATGTTTATATACCTTTTTCGCTTATATTGATACATCCAACATTAATACGAAACTTCACCGATGATTGAGCTTAACTAATCTATCTACGATAACTTACAACTAAAATATTTACGGTGTCAAAATTCTACGAAGACTTGATGGGCTGAGAAAATTGTTTATACTGTACTTCCTCAGAGAGGTTATTAACTTTTGCACTCTTATTCAGATAAATTTGTAAAAAAAAAGTGGTGACTCAGTGCGCCTCTTTCTAACGTTCCTTTACTTAACACCCCCCACCGCTCAACTTCTCCTACTACTACTTTTGTATTATACCATCTAAAACCGCTAGAGCCCACTAAGCACCGAACAATTATAAAGAAATAGTAACATTTAAAAGAAAGACCCAGCACTGCAATCAAAAGATAAGCCTTGGTGGCCCCAAAAGCATTTTGATGGTAGCACTACTAGGTAGGTACTAAGGAGAGTACTCTCAATAAAATTGGAGGCATTGCTTTTGCTAACAAAAAGGCATCTTGTGTGACTCAATTTGACAAAACTATTCTCAGTTACGAAGCCGAGTTAATCTTGATATGTTCGACTGCTTCAGTCGCAATTGATAAAATCTAGGCAGATCACCAAGATTATCTAAAAGTTGTCAAGGCTGGCGCTATAATGCTAGGTGCTATTATGAAATACGGATGAACAACTTTATTTTTGGAGAGTCATGTGTATTCGGAAAGCCAAGCGAACCTATTATCACCACAAAAGTACAGTTATGGCGAATTCAATAAAATTCTACTTTTCTCCTAAATATGTGTTTGCAAATCACTAACCTTTTAGCAAAAGGTTAGTGATTATGCTTTTCGAACAATTGATACTTACAAATAAGCACTAAATCAACCGAGGCAGGATTTTTTTCCATGCAGGGACTAAGTGAAGTTCTACGTTTTTACTTATTTTTTCTTTTCTGAAAACATAATAAGCTAATACTATTGCGTTTCTTAAAACAACAAAGCTGCCAACAGTTGCATATCAGACTTTTGCCAAAATGTGGAGGACCTTGTAGATTTTTTGCAAATTTTGTCTTTATTAGAAAACTTTCGACCATTATCTGTTTGCTTTATTTTGCAATATGTATGCTTTTCTGTATGCGTGCGAGTGAGTTGATAAGTCGTACTATGCTATACGTTCTAAGATATATTTTTATGATTATAAAAGATCAAAAAGAGACTTACGGGTATATACATTCTTTAATTCTTGGCTCTGACGGTTGATTGACGTTAACGTACGCAGTGGAAACGTGAACGAAAGAGCAGAGTTTCTGCAGATTACGGCAAAGTTCCACCATGTTGGCAGTGGCCCCTACGTTTACACGAACAGCTGCCACCAACGGTTCATTGAATTTAACTGTTGCTGCTGAGTGGATGACAATTTCGACCTCAGACTGGACCCTACCAGTTTTAAATGATTACAGAATGTACGCATTTAGAATATATATACGTATATATACAATCTTATAATCTATTAGGCAATTTCATGGCATATCACGCGAAATTATCAATCAAATACGTCGCCTGGGATCTTTTTTTTTTATTGTTTCCCTTGATTTTTCTATTTTATTTATTTATTTTATTTATATTTTATTATATTTACACCCTGTACGTAATCCGTGGAAAATCTAAAATTGCTTGTGACATCATCGTCAAAATTATAGCTCTGTGTCTGATAGACAGACGAACAGAAGCTATTATTACTATAATTATCTACTAAATTGGGCATTCGGATCCAACGGAATGTCATCTAGATATTATATTAATACAGAAGTGACGTAAACTGACATTTAGTCCCATTTCCTTCATAAGGCGATTGTAATGTTCTTGTCACAATACTCAAGTTATGCGTTTGTCCTGCTTTATGAGACAACTCGCCAAACGACACGTCGGCGGATGAAAAGGTGCCATCCTAGTGAATAAACGAGTTGGCATATTGCAGTTCCCTAGTTCTAAACTACAAAATGTCCAATTTCGCAGTCGACTACCACGTTGGAATTTTGTTGCTTCCCTCGTTTTAAGAGTTAAGATTCATTCATTAATTTTCCAAATCAACGCAAAGAGATGAAACAACATAAATTATGAACGGACCGATTCAGAGTTTTAGTTCCAATTGCTAAACTGATTTTGAAGATTCACATTCTCTCCACGATGGCGGTTCTAAACACTAAAGGGAACATTAAAAACGAAAATAGCATAATCACAATAGATTAAAGGCTAGATTAAAAAAATTAATAGAGAAAGGAAATAAATGTAACGCCAACAAAGGCATAGCAGAACTATGAGAAGCAAAGAATTAGGCTGAACAGATTTAGTGATCAATGTCACAATAGGATCTATGAGAAACTTTGTAGAAACAGATATAAGGTCCGGAAGGACTAAAGAAGGCCACCTCTAACAAGGACGTAGCATATGTTTGGTCAGTCAGAAGTGGTCGGAGAATGCAGACAAGTGGCATATTCTTAAAAAGGAAATCCTGGAGACGATCCCGGACACCGAAATATATAATAGGGATAAAAAAACATCTGAAAAAGCATCTGAAAACAGCGAACGGACGTGATGCATGTTTGGAGTCCCCACAATCTTTCCAATGGAAAAGGCGGCAACGTCGGTCGCAAAGAACGATGACCTATGCAGTCCACCAACTTTTCAAACAAGTAGACCAACTGCAAAGAGCAACGATAATCCCATAACGAACTATATCAGCCATTGCATTTCGAGCTAGATCATGGTGATGACAGAAACTAAATAAGAAATATCTTCTTAAATGCTACCGCTAGGCACTTATATACATGCAAATCTTGACCGAATCACCAAGTCAGGTAGCTTAACAATTCAGGCATAGGTGGCTTTTAGCAGCAGAAACATAGATCTTTTGCTGAACGTAAGAAAAAACATTCTGAAAAAGTCCGAGAGGCAGGTACTAAAGCGGACTTGAAGGCTCGAACCGCAGGTCCGACCACTAACCTCAATACGATTGAAATAAACACAATCGGAGCAACTGTTGAAATTCGTGACAAGCTAGTCTTTTTTCTCATAAAATACCAAAGAGATCAAAATAGAAGCATCTTGGCCAAGAAGAGAGGCAAGCTAGACTACTTTGGTTCACATATCCAGGGTTATAGCGGCCATTTTTTTTAGCACAAAAATTGTCCGAGAACAAGCAAAGCTACATTGCAAAAGAAATTACAAATCTGCAAGCGCTGCTACAGATGTTCGAAAACAGAATGCCAGACACGAAACTGCACAACAAAGCTTTAGATGCAAGGCCAAGTCCTAGTCACGAACACGATGATCTGTCCAAGAATAAAAGATGCCCACAGGCATTCAACCCCCAAGGTATTAGTACGATGCAGCGAAAGGTCTACAGAAGCTGGGTCTCTGAACCGAATAAGGCCGGCTTCGAAGACCGATAACAACAAAGATATACCCTTTGTTACAATTGCAAAGGTTGCCGTCAAAGAAACTGAGAGAGGCTATGGCCTCGTTTAGATTATGGTATGAGGTATATAGATACATAACCCTAAACTTTAGCTGTCAGTACTTCGGAAGATTCCTTGACGATCAAGGACATACTCTGGATGACAGTGATGGAGCAGCAATCACTGGGAATTTCACAACTGCTTGGCAAGGCATTTCCCATTGAGCTGTTGGCTAGAGGAAACCTCCAGTCAAGCAATGACTAATATAAGCCCACCTTCTGGCTTATATAGAGCTTACTACGAAATGCCTACGATCGGATAAACTGGACGGAATCTGCTCACGCTGGAGGCAAACCGAACGCCTCCATGTTTCCAATGCACTAACTCTAGTTATGCAAGTAACCGTAAGACTGAAAATAAATAGCTATTGAGTACAATATTAAAATGGGAGTGCCACATTGTACCATGCCGAGACTAATCCTATCAAATTTCCGCGACGACAGAAGCATAACCATCATAGACAAGCAAGTCGCTAAAATCATAACACATATACCTTGACTTAATTATGCTCACTGGCATAGCGAAGCCTTTGTGGAACTGGATGGTAAGATGAAAGAATTACCGAGAAACGAGAGTTCGTGGCACAACTCGTAAAAATATTTAATTGATCTTTGGTATACTTTCTTTTAAAATTAATCTTTTTAATGGCCGTTCATTGCGTATGCTCGTTCGACCCCATTTCAAATCAGTAACTCAATTACAAATTGTTCTGAATAAAAGGGTGAGGTGTTTAAAATCTAATTCCACTTTTTATAGCCAGCGGGCCTCAAAAGTTTTATTAAAACTTGCCAGTAAGTGCCAGTAATAACACGTATCCCTTCGTAAATTTCGAAAATATGCTTGACATCTGTCACTTTGTACAATATTCAAAAATAAACGGAGCTTTAATTTTTTAGTGATACTACCCAAACAATAAATATATTCAGCAATACCAAGCGCTTTTTTAAATGATGCGATGCTTTATTAAAGCATCTGGTAGTATCAAATACTTGTAAGAAACATTTATTTAGAACAGAAAACCAGTTATAATTTACTGCATTCTAACTGGCTGCTTTTATAAGAACTCGTAGTAGTAATAAAAAAAGACCATCAGTCCACCAAGCACCAGGGTAGGATATTCTGGTACTTGGCATTCCATGAAGCGTGTACGTATGATGGGACAGGTGAATATCTTGACTTTCTCAAAACCTTTATATGTCATACTGCATTTTTTCTTTAACAAGGAAAGAGTAACATGATTTAGTTTTGACCTAATGTATTTGGATAATGTAATGTTAGGTACATGTACCTGCGTAGATCCTTATCGGAAAGACCAAGAAAACGCTTCTCTATGTCGCCAGCTAGAGCGCTGACTCGTGAGCGGGCTTCTGGGCGACGGGACAACAAACCTTCAAATATCTTCGGAAATGAAAGCAAATAAATATATTTTCGTTATGAAACGGGTTTTCAGGGTTAACAGATTTAAAGGTGCACACGAGTAATTGTCAATGCAGTGATTTGTATATTTTATAGAGTAATGCACAACAAAATGTTTCCTAAAATTGTTGACTTAGAATGAAAACCAAGAGTTCCCTACGGTTCAAATATTTCAGTGAAATTCGTTCGAACGAAAAATCACGAAGTAAGTGCTTAATATAAAACGTATATTTTTCGTATAAGAAATCATCACATGTTACAATTCTACGAAAAAATTGGACCAACAAAGATGTTTTTTTTTAGAGATGTGGTTTGCCATAGGTGAGCCACTGATTTGAAATCTTCCTAAAGTAAGAATAGATTTCTGACCTCCGAACATCTGGGGCGCACGGATATGTAGATTATTACCATCAGATAGCCGAGGGTAGATTCAGATACTTATACTGCTTTTAGGCGTAAAACAGGGAAAAGGTCCTTAACAGAGGACTTATCATTGGAACTCCACAGCCTAAAGGTAAGTCAAAGGCTTTCTTCGTTAATGACTAAGGTTACCTTATGTTGGATGGTTCAAGTGAAAAACAAGCAACTAACCAAAATTAGATTACTGCCCGATAACCCAACTTTCCGCTTCTGATATCCACCTGGCCCGTCTGACGAATGCAGTTAAAGAGCTACGCATTCGGTGAGTGAAATCTGAACCTTTCGCAGATTGCGCCAGTTTGGTGCTTGAAAAAAAAGTGAAAATAACGGCATACATCAATGGTGTCAATGAACACGTCTTGTTCGCAAGCGTATAGATCGGTGCAATATTTAAAGCAAGAGGATTCAAAGAATTATCGCAGACATCAAAACAGCACAGAATTTTCTAGGGCGCTCGTCCATTAAAACAGTTTTTGTGGATTGCAGGATTTGAAAATGAAAAGTTCTTCACCAATACAATATTGAGCTTTTGTCGTCGTAAGGTTTACAAGAAGCGTTGTGAAGTGTGGAGGAGACTAAAAAACAAGTAAGTTCCTCAGGGTATCTTTCGGAATATCGTTTATAATCTACATTGCTAGTGTAGGCAGAATTATCCTACAAGGTTTTACACTTTTACAGGCAATGAAACACTGTGAGAACTGGCAACCCCATCTGTAAATGCAGGGGCGCTGACGTCTATAATTGTAGAATCGGCAGAACGAGGGTTGAGGATAAAGCCGCGTAAGACAAAATGTATCATGGCATAGAATCGTGCGATGTAATTGAAAAGATTGAAGCACATGGCCCTAACATAAGTAGTTTACCGAGAGACATTCGCGATGTAACATGGCGGCGCCTCACTTTACATGGCTATGACTATAAGGAAAAGACTCCTAAACTCCAAAATCGACTACGTAACAGCATCTAAACCGTTAGACAAGCTGTGCAGTAGCAGGTGTTACCCGATGCGTTAAAATAGCTTTAGATCGTCTAAGCATGACTGCTCCGCAATCCGTCTGAATATGATATATTTTGCTTCCTACAAATGGGTTTTTTTGTTAATAAAGCAACTTGTCTGACTAACTAAATGCGATCACTCTATTCACATTGTCAGTGCCAACCGAATTCGATATTAGCAGAAGAACTAAAGCAACTACCGGCGGTAAGTAAAGTGCGAGTTGTTGATCTACCCGTGCGAATTGTCACAGGTGTCACACTGCTCAGAATCGAAAGGAAAAAGAAATGCGTGGTTACAATTCTTAAGCTCTGGCGGTATCACCTTTGGTGTCACGCTGATGGACACGATACAAACCAGGCTAGTGTAGCGCGCTACGACAGCTAGAGCATAAGCATTTTCTACCGTAAAATGCAGTACACACAGTTCGACAGTTGTGGACCTAATTTTTAATTACGAAGCTTTCCCAAGTATGTTTTAAAGGGTCATCAGCTTGCCATAATTTAATGTAACTCATAAGTGGCTCAAAACTTAATTTGCGCTGCCAAACTCTTCGTACAGAATGCCATGTGACACCAGCGGCAGTGTCTTGCTCGCGCATAATAATGCAGTCTGTATAACTGCAGTTCAGCTCTCGTGCAAGTTTATTGAAGTAAGCAGGCTTGTAAAGTCACCAAATGCAGTATTCATTGTACGACATTCACATGCCACGGAAAAACATGTCAATCAATGAAGGGCAACTTAAAAAGGAACCAAAGATGCAAATGGTATGTAGCGTAATATTATAGGTAGGCTAAACAATGCATGCTATCCATTCAATGGATAATGTATATGATGATTTCATTATGCCTGTATTAGAGATGTGTAATTAATATGAGTAGAAAAAATTGAATTACAGAGAAGATTTGAATGATGTGAAAACCAGAATAATAAGTACGCAATGAATAATAGGCTTCAACGGATAGGTACGAAAAAAGATAGGATCATCATGTAATAATATATAATAAGCAATAGCAAAAAAAACGTGTTAATTTATAACCATAAAGATAGACATGCGTGCAAATGCATGTTAGTATATATGATGTGCTACCTGCTTAAAGACAACGAACCTAAGGTGAAATTTCTTAAATAAACATGTGACAAAAAAGTTTAAAAATATCGGTTTTAAAATGTTTTAAAATATACCGTCTAAAGTATCAAGTTATGATGACTTTTTTTGGTACAAAAACTCTATTAGCTATGATGCATACGGAGAGATATAGACATATTTAAACCGGTTGGTCGTAACGTTGCTTTTTTTTGTCAGTACGGTGCACGACCTGAATCGAAAGTAAGAAGATAAAAAAAAAGGTGATACAAATTTCGAGAAAGCTCTCATTTCCGCTATACGACCATGATGCATACTGCGGGATGCGTAGATCGAGTAATGTTATGGTTTTTATTTCGAGTGATTAAGCCATTTAAGTTAGTCATTCAGCAAGCAAACAATGATAAGGAAAATGTCAATAAATAAATAATAATGTTTTTAATGCAGCAAGCTACCACCGCCATTTGACCTATATTCAATTTCGGATAAGATTTTGAAACCAAAGGAAAGAACTAAGGTTTTTAAATTGGATCAAAAACAAGCTTTAAACTTTTTAAAAGAATGTTAAGACAGAGAGTGTTTATAGAGAGAATAAAATTGTGGGGCTCTTCTGTGTGTTGTATCGTAAGCTTATAACCCTTTACAATGCTACAGATTTAGTGACCGTTACAGCTCGTTCTTGTAAGGACATGCTATACCGCGCTTGCTGTGCAGCGTTTCATGTTATGTAGTCATTAACCTCTAAAGAACTTCCTTTTCGAATTTACAGATTGACAAGCTTTTCGTATCATGCTGTCAATACTCAACCACTTATTTTTTCACTAACTGTCAATTTTTTTGTTGGCTTCAATCGTAAAGATTAACCACTTGATGATCACGGAAATGATTGATTTACATTTGACGATACAATTTACCTTTTTTTAAGTATCAAATTGAATTTAAGTGCGACAACCATTCTATCCATAAGTATATGTGGTACTTTTGCGTATGCATTATAGTGCATATAGTTATTCAATTGCAAATTCAACGTAAAAATAAACACCCTGATTAACAGACGCATACTATTGGCATGAAAAGTCTTAATATTTCGCTTTCTATCGTAAATGGATTTACAATATTATGGGCACGCACCGCGTGCAGCCCACTAATACAGAAGCCAAATGCACGTTTATAATCTAACAATGACGGGATTTCTGTTGTGGCTATATTTTCGCGTGTATAATTAACGCTGCATCATTTTTGAAAAGCAGCACTGTTGTAGACGTCTAATTAGAAAGTATCGACTTAGATGCACAGTCTCGCAACTAGACTTGTTAATCGAGCGGACCAGGTTTACTAGAGTACAGTGCTATTATTTTTTTTGGGTAATATCTATCCAGTATGAGAAATTGGTAGTCCACCTTTATAGATTAGGTGTTGTTTAAAAGCATGTGACAAATCAGTCGTGAATTTGTTATATGAACTCTAAGTTTGAAAGTACTTCATGTGTCGCGGCTGATACAGCTATGGAGAAAAATTCGTTTTGGAAAGGAGTGACGTCTCTGATAAATCTTCAGTCACCGTCTGATGGGCTAACTGCATTCTGTGGGGATCACCGCTGCATGCAGCCGTTATTGAATTCACTACCTGATATTCCACGGGTTGTCTGAAAGCATTTTTGGGGTGTTTTCTTTTGGTTGAATATTTTTTGCATCAATGACAATTCTGTATTCGCACCTGGGCAGTATGTAGATAATTATTGGAGGGCGCATGAGGTTTATAAGAGTAGAGAACGAAGCTCCTATAAGAACACTCAGGATGCGAGGCAAGGCTAGCACTGTTCAGCACAGCAACGCAAGCATCAAGAGAAATTATGCATGCCCTCGATATGTATGCCCTCGAGAAGCGAAACTCTGTTGGATTGGAGTTGATACAATCTTACCACAATGTCCACACTAGAAAACTTAATTGTTGCATAGTGAAGATTATTTCAAACAGTTTACATGATGAGCGTATAATGATATTTATTGTGATTAAATGTAACTGCACTGTGAGTTGACAAAAATAGCTTATATAAATTTAAGAAAATTTTCAAGTCGTAACTATTACTCTATTCGCCCTGCTACCTTGGTGGTTTTTATTCAATCTGCACTCACCCCCAACATTTAATCCTTGTTTCTTGTTTTCGTCCACTTTAATTACAATCGACACCTTTGCACTCCGTACACACATTTGGGCCTTCTGATAATGACTAAGCTTTTTTAACCGTAGTTTAGCGAAATGTGCGTATGTTGTCAGGTCTAGCGGATTTATTTAAAACAACATATCGAAGGTTTTTCAACTTTCGTTCCCTAAGTTAATTTGCATCGCGAATAATAACGACAGAAGTTTTTTTTTTTCCTAAATTTAGTTTTTTTTTTTACGAAGCTCTATTTACGGTGCACAATGAGTCATGTTTCGACATTTTTCAATTTTCTACAAAATTACTGTAGAAACAAAGATCTCAAACGAATCTTTGCCTCAGCCGGAAACGGGATCTTGTTTAATTTTCTAATTTACAATACATGTGCACGATCTTTCTCTCTCGATCTCGCTGTATATATGTATATATATATACAGCGCGAGACATTCAAATTCGGATAAGCTTTAATGGGCTGTTTCTTGTAGAGAACATACGCTTACTCACTATTCCTGACGGTGGAAGAACGCTAGTACATTTTTAAGGGACAAATCGACAAGTTCGTTATAGCGAAAAGCGATACCTCGCTTTTACAATTTAACCGAAGATGAGCTATTGTCCAATGTATTTACGCGAGAAAAAAGAGTTTTTGACATTAATAAGAAAGTTATAAACTGTCCGAAATTAACGGTTTAGGTTATTGCGAATTCCCTTGTGGCGTCTGAAAAATTCGAGGCAAATTTTTAAGCGGCAAACTATAAGAATCTTAGTACAATTTAGATTTCAGGGATTTAAAAATTAATCGACGGCTTAGAAAACACTTTTGATACAGCTGGATCCTTGGTATAAGAAATAACGGCAGTGTCGAAGAAAATAATATTTACTGCTAACAGGTGATCCAGGCGAAATACAACAGTTAACCTTTTTGAGACCGTTTGCGTTTTTTCACCTTTTAGGCTTATTGGCTACTTTGAGCCCTTGTATTTTTGGAACCTTCGTCTTCATATATATATATATATATATATATATATATATATATATATATATATATATATATATATAGGTCTTGAAATGAAAATCTAGTCGCAGTTAATGATGGTTACAGTAAATGACAATCAAGAATGGCACTTCTAGCACATGTAAAACCTTATGTTGAAATATCCGTCTATTTGGATACAGTCTTAAAAGGTACACTAAAAGATGTGTAGCTTAGATATGCCTTCTGTGATTTCAACGGGTTACTTCATGTAAAAATAGAGTAAATACGATAAAATCGCGAGCAATATTCAACTGAGCAATTAAGCAATGATAACACGAAATCAGAATAGATGTGATAAAACAACTATGAATAGAGTGCAGTTTACGATGCAACTGGATTTTTTGTATAGAAACCAGCAGTTGCTTTGAAAAGCAAAACATCCATTTGCAAATTTTGTACTTCTTGGCCGTTTTAAATGTTTGCATTTTCAAAGCCTTTAACCTGCCATCAGCCGCATATTTCGTTGGAATTTTTTATGCGTAACGTATTTAAGCGATACTTTAAGGAATTTACACCCGCAGATATCGCTTCATGCAAAACTGCTATTAAAAACTATTTTTGAAATAAGAAGGAAGATTTAGAACACGACTAGTGAATATCTTAAGTTCATGATTAAAGATATAGTGCCAACATATGATTGTATATTAGATGAGCGTGATCGTCAAACGTAACACTCTTAGCAAATGCCAAAAATGTCACTGAAATGTATTTTTTTGGTTTAAATAGTATTAGAAACAGTTTATAGAAAAAAAGTTCGTATGTGGATTCCCATTTTGTGCAAATGTATTTACAAAAAATTAAGGAATAATTCAAGGATATCAGTAAAAGTATATTACCTGTTCACTGAGAATGCTATTAAGGCGCTGCTGGACGCTTGCTCCTCGTTTTTCTCTGATGATAACAAAAATCTGGCCAATAGCAGGACAGGAGCGTAGAAGCTTTTCTATAAGGAGCTTTTGATTTAACAGAAGAAATATAGAGAAAAACACAGTTTAGTTTGTAATTAGTAAATATATATTTATAGCCGCTCTATTATTTTGGTTATTTTTGCGCCAAACAAAAAGTACATATGCCAAAAAAAGTTTTTAATTTGTACAACGCAGTTAGAAAATTAAAAAAAAGAACATGTCAAATCATATTAACGCCCGCACATCTCGTGTAGCATATATTAATAGGTAAATATGACAAGCTAAGCAAAAGGTGATAAGACATTGAGCACTCCAAATAATGTATAAATGACATTACGAGGGTGCTAACCCTTTAAAAACGGTGGACAGTGGATTGCACGATATGTGGTGTATGATATATCGTATTATATGCAGTGACAATCGTTGTAATAAACTAGCCGTTGCCCCCGTAATGACGTCACCGGGAAAATGCATATAAGGCGAATCAAAAGTAATTTGAAGGGGTTACTTCACATCATTTAATACATGCGAAGTGAAGACTCCTCAAGTGTTGTTAGACAAATTATGCATATTACCATATAACCCTATGAAAATTAATCCTGATATGTTGATAGATATTCGGCGTCAACTCCTTTGTAATATAGTTGGTGTTCCATTGCAATTACCCCGTTATATTTAGAATAGGGAAAGTAGATCGATAAAACATCACAGTCAACGCGGTGAACTTTACCCTTCTGAAAAAAAACCTTTGCATCACGATAATTTCTGTTTGAGTAAAAACAAATCACCACTATACAGAGATTTCGTAAAAATGGCAATGATGTCATGATATGAAACATCAACATAAAAATATAAAATACCTGCCATATCAAATTAAGGATTTCATTTAAAATGAATCAGTAGCTAAAGTGGCTTTACTCAGCTTTACTGCCAGTGGAAAGAAAGATGTCACAATGTCTTAGTAATACTTCATGCTATGATGGATTATCAAATCCTAACCGCCGATTTGCAACATTTTTTGTTTAATATTGCTAGGCTTTGCCTATTTTTTTTTGCCTAACGTTTGCCATTTCACACTAAAATGAATAACTATGAAAGCACCGCTGTTTCTTCAGTAGGTTTAAATTTCGACCTAGACTCAAAACTAGGGTGCAACTGTAATACTTATAAATATATATACTTAAGTACTATACTAATATACTTAAATAAGAAACCCCCCCCTTTTAGCTTGCTAATACTTTGCAAAATCACCAGCCCACAGGATTACTTTGACGAATAGAAGAATTTTACGGTAATTGTTTGTATGGTTCTCGTGATTTCTAAAATATCATCATTTTTCGTTTCTACGCCGTCAACCGTTACTGTGTTCTTTTGCAGGATCTTTTTGAAGTTTCAATAACTACCTTGGCATTCCAGATACAAAGATGGCAGTCGTATTATGCATCAGAAGAAAGGGGTGTGAATTTTGGCACCATAAGGTTAATGTTTTCTGCTCAAGACTTTTTGCACACGCATATATTGAGTCCTCAACATTAGTGTACAAGTAGATGCCTCTATTTACTATGTAACGATGTATATGTACTACATTAATCGCATTATTATTCAACTCTTGACTACGAGCAATTTGCATGTCACTAATTTTGTTACGATCCTTATAAAATTCAGACTCTGTAATTATTTGTAATGCATAATTTGGTCAACAGTGTGTGGATCTCGCTATGTCTAATAGGAGCTTGTTATTCTAGAACAACACGCTCACTGCTACCTGATTATATGTGTGAGCTGGGTTTCTGTGAGTCCTAGGAGTTTTAAGGCTTTTGAACAATTTATCTGACCTTTTTCTTGACAATAGGCGTGCTGGGATCAAGCACTTTTTGCAAGTATACGTAGAGTCCTTTTATAAATTTATTTTATTTATAAAAGTATCTTGTCACTCATAATAAACACCGTCTCCCTCAGTTTACAATTCGTTTCCCTTCTGGTATACTGCTTATTTGGTTGTGTCATGCTTACAGGTTGTTTTGACGCATATGATGAGGACCGTATCAGCCGCAAAATGGTCGAACTATTATTTGATATAGTCTCTTTCGAGACTTCTCGTCTGATACATTACAAAAGTGATGAGACTTTATGTCTTTATATTTAGTTCAGTTTTGTTCAATGGCGTCGTTTTGCCCCCTTGATAGCGCAGTAAGTAACGCGTGTGTCTACTTAATTAAATGTGGCAGTCTAGGTTCAAGTCGAGGCAAACAATGCACTTCGTTTCGTGCTGGGAATCAGCCGTCAGAGGTAATGCATAAGAGTTAGAGCAGCAGTGTAGAACATAAAACAGAATATCAGCATAAGTTGATCTGATTTCATTGTTGCTGTTGGTAGGGTTCATAGTCAACAATGCGCTGTACACTTGATAGATATTATAATTTGATTTCAGCAAAGGCCGTGCACTTAAGGTATTTTTTTCTTTCACGTACAGCAGTTTAGATTAGGTCGACCTAGGATCTCCTGGTCGGGGTACACGTATTTCGGCTGTATGCTTGTGAAGTGTTTTAGCGTCGAGATTATTATTTGCTAAGATGAGTAGATAGAACTAGTATCGGTGGGTTGCGAAATGCGGCGTTTGCGCCTTTTCAAACCGAATGGGTGCAGGATCGTTTTTGGGGCCATGTACTAAATTTTTACAATAAGGGTTAAAGTGTTTATATAGTATACTAACTCTATAAATGCTATACACTGACATCAGGATTTTTCATCAACAATACGCGGGTCCGATGAATTTGTCGACAGTGTAGCTTTTGTATAGCAAATAGCATGTGGGTTTGCTTGATTACTTAAACCGCACTGAATTCATATAAAATTCACTACAACTACGTCTTTTACAAGTTGTACAAAACAACCCGACACAAATTTTGCGCATTTTGAGTGAATTTTATGCAAAATTTTCATGGCCGACAGGAGCTCCATTACAGCTTTTTCTAAAAAACCCATAGGTCTTGTAAGACATAATACCATATAGTGGCTCACTGTTCTGTGGAGTGTATTAATCAAGTTCCTGTTATTCTAAAATTAAGCCTGGTGCTGAGCCCTAAGTTTTTACGCTGACACTAACATATTTATGAATTACTTATGTAATTGTTTGTGTTCTCGACTGTGATGTCCGTGCTTCTTTCCGCACTCAACATCAAGCTTGCAGGGCAATTTGAATTTTTTTAAAGCTTTTTTCTTCGAGTATTACTTGCTTTCTATGGAATAATCTGCTCTATATAGGTGCCGCGTAGAAACCCATTGTGCTGATGATCATTCGCTCCCGCAGCTTTGGACATGATTCTAGCTCAAGTATTTGCCATTGGTGTTGCCTCTCCTTAAGCATTGTCGATGTCGAATTCGCTTTTGTTGAGATCTCGACCTCGAGACTACCCCATTCCTTTTTTCTACCTGAAATTACCTGCATCTCCTTTAGGTCACCACAAGCTGGTGTTTCTCCATAAGCTGATCCAAAAGCATCAGCGAATTTTTTTACCTTATTTTTCACTTTCGCCGCTGCTTTGACGGCATACGCCACTAGCTGAACGCATTAACGAACTTTTAAAAAAAGAGTATGTTGTGTGCCTCATCTTATACAGAAGATCCGAACACGAATCCATAATCTCATATGTGAGCCTTTAGATCATCTGATACAATGCTAATGCAATTCAGTTGGAGCATTTTTCCCTTCACATTTTAGCTGTGATGAATTAGCCCGGCGATGGTCTTCACCGCTATTCTGCTAATGGAAATTAGTAGGCACACAAGGGGGTAGCCTGTTGATGAGTGGTGGATGCTAAGGTTTGAAATCGCCCTTTCTTACTTATTCGTCGTCCAGATATTGTTCATTACTGTCTTCAGTGTTTCGAGGCGTTCCTCAAGTAGAACCTTAAACATATTAGATACCATTGTGTCTGTTTATGACGACTTTTTGCAAGATCTTTTGCCGTCTTACTGATTTTATCCATAGAGCTAAATGGGATGTTTGCCTCATCCACCTCCAAGGCTTTTCTGTTGGTAAAGGCAGTAATAGATTGTAATGTGCCTGTCTTCATTCAGGCTGATTTTTTAATAGCTGACTTTACGTATCGTTCTTAAGCAACCGTCTACGAAAAGCTGTCCTTTCCTTTAAAAGTATTTTCCACTTAACTGCCTTGACTTTAGTAATAAGCAACCCCACTTTCTTTCTTACATCTCTCCACTTATTCCTATTATATCGTTCTTATCATTTACTTAGATTATCAACGTTATTTTTTTGCGATGCCAATAAAGTAAAACGAGAGCTTTCAAAAAAAAGGTTATTAGCTTCTGATCAAACGGCCTGACAAAAAGTCGAATCATCCAAGGTGAGGTACTGCCTAAAGCAAAGTGCCTACGAGCAATGTTACAGCCTAATCTCGTATAAGCAAAATACGTTAAAGTATTACAATCATACTGATTATGAAGCCTACATATTTAATGTTTTGCTAGTACTTATGTCTTGTTAAATGAAACGCACTCCGAATAATAAAATAAAATGGGATTTAAATTCGAGATGTAAAGCTGACATGCTGAATTTTGGAAACAATGAAATAGATATTTGATGATAGGAAGTATGGAGCGTGGAAGTATGGTTACTAAAGAACTGTGAGCTTGCATTACCTAAATTTACATACGAATTGTGGAAATTACTGAATATATAGAAGTAAAGTTCTGTATGCCAGGGCATCTAGCATGACCTTATAATTACTGCAATTCAAAAAAGAAATTGTGTGGTAAGAACGAGTTGCTCGTATTATACCAGAGTGATGGTGTACGTAATATTAAAAGCGACTGAGCTACGTCTGTTGCATGTAAATGCGTACATGTGTTGTCATAAAGTTAAAGTTACTTCATAACACTTACGCTTTATATAATTCTATTTTTACTACGCCCAGATGTTCAACTGAGAAGCCGCCTTAATTACAGCTAAGCAAAATAAGGTTTATAGGATGAGCTTAAAACACTAAGCTGAATTTCAATTAAGTCTTGTCCATAATTAAATCTGTAATTTTTTTTTTTAATCTTATAATAATGTTATTTTGCAGCCCACTATGTCAACCCATCAATTTCTATATAAAATATAAGTCACAACAATTTTTTTTGTTCCTATTAAACAAATCGAAAGGTTGCAACGCAGCCGTGTTTTGGCTGATAGAATTTTTTTAATCACTTATGAAAAAAAAGAGCTGTAATACACCCGTTCTTTCAATGTTCTGAAAAAAGTCTATTTCATTTACCTTTCCAATGAAGCCTGTGCCACCAGTGATGAGAACTGTTCTATTGGCAAAGAACGCCGCGACTTGGGAGTCATCTCTTTCCAGGAAATCCATTTTTGCCCCTTGCTTGATACTTGATGAACGTTTATATAAAAGTGAACAAATCGGGCTACTGCCAACAAATCAACGGCACACGAAAACATATCTTTAGATAAAAATGATCTGTGTAAAAGAATGTCGATTTTAAAATATGCTTGGTAAATTGTCTAAAAATTAAGGTTTTTCATATTTATTTTTCCCCTACTACGCATCATCTGAAAGAATCATCGTAACAAGAAGTAAGTTAAGCAGCCTAAATGTTTAGCTTACAATGTTTAACAAATATATATTGAAAATATTATAAACAAACTACACTTAAAAATAAGCTAGGACAAATTATATTCGACAAAAAAGCAGTTATTCAAGAATGCTGCAATATGAAATACATCTATTAATGCTGTTGGCTGCATGTTTATATTCATTTGTACATACGTTTATATTAAGGCTTCCTTAATAAGCAAAGCGTGAATGGCTAGCATTAAATGCACTTGAATGCGCTCAGGTCATAAAAACATGCAATGGTGTATTGGGTTTATGAAATGTTCATCCAACATGGGTTTGCGAATTAACTAGTAACCATGTTCGCCTAAAAGTAGGATGACTACACATGCTTTGTTGACACTGTTATACATTTTAACGCTTTAAGTGCTGCCTCCTGAACTCAAGCTATGTAGTAATGAACTCATACATTCACATCAAGCTTATATCAGATGGGGAATGGTTGCACTGTCATTTTTCATTGTGAATTACATGCCCATAAGACTTAAGAAGCTTACCTAGCATTTCACAGTTATGGTTAGCAAAAAACTTACGCGATTTGGCATTTCCAGTAGAAATTAATCAGCTGAGGGCACTTTTATCGAAAAGTTTGCTTCATGCCAAAGGATGGCTAGAAATGGCTGGCTGCGTCACTTAAATGCGGAGGCTATTATAGATGCAGTGCTGCTGTAGTAAAATTTTCACTAACGACTTGTTCAGCTAACGACAAGTCAGACACAACAGCTAGTATATTTGGTGTACAACCTATGACATTTTGTATGTGCGGGTATGTTCCCTTGCTTATCAGTATTTTCACCCTTTCATAGTTCTCAAAGCAAAGGCCACATAAGGGAATTTTGCATTTTCTTCTATCGCACCCTTTGCGGCTAGCTAAATAATGTTTTTCGCAGCTTAAACAAGAATAATTTCGGCAGGGTCACTTTCGTGATCACGAATGGTCACAAGGTTGCACACAAAGCCGCAACGTCGTTTCACAACGCTCCTTTGTCATACATACGTTTACAAAAGGAAAAACATTTGCAGAGTATTATGGCTTGTCCTGTACAATTTTCTCCACATCTATAGTAATCTAGATTTTCCGACTGGTACCAAGTAATTTATTTAAAACTCCGTATAGATATATATATGATTTTCTCTCTTTAGAATGCAGTAATTGACTGCTTGGATGGTTTTTTGCTCTTCATCACAATACAAATTTATTCATATTAAAGTGCATGGCAATTCAATATGTGCTATGTATTTCATTCACAGCTACAAAACTGTTTTTGATTACGATTAAAATGATAATACATGTTTATTTATTGTTATGGCAAACACAAAGAAGCCTAATGCCCTCCTGGTATCCTGTGTTACCTAAACAAACATAAAAGTAATGTTCAGCGGTGAATTTGAAGATCGGTCTAAACCCACTTAAAAGTAAACTCAGGTCAGCCGTCAGATACCGAAAAAAACTGGTCAATCAGTTGCCGAATGATAGCTCGAGATCAAGTTTAAAGCGTTCTTTAAAGTGTGTCTTTAAAGTAAAGTGATTAAAGTCGTGAAGCCACGGAGTTTATGGTACATAAAATACACGTGCCATATAACAAATGCAGAATTCGTCGGTTGCTGTATAAAAGTGCAGGCTCCGTCAGAATTCACCAGATCGTTTGTTCTACATGAAGTCATGTGTTGCTATATAACATCATCCTACGTTGTGTTGGGTTTCTCCAGTCTGCATATTATCCAGTATTTTTACCTAGTTCGATAAGTCGCATTCTGCTACATCTTGATTTCTTTGTGTTTGAGAAACTTACAATAAAGCAGCTTTTTCTTTTAATTTTTATTTAATAAATCTTTTTTCTAATGAATTTATTCATATTCAACTTTAGTGTTACATGTTACAATGCCATTTTCCATTGTTAGTCAGTGCGAAATGTCATGCGCCGTTGTGTGTCCAGTTCAAATTTGAACAATCAGAGATGCAAAGTTATAAAACTAGCATGTGAGATGTACATATATATGTAAAAATAAGCGAAGAGGAATTCCTATTCGAGGCTAGCATAATCTCATAGTATCTATAATATATCGAAAGATTATACATTTGTACGAAATTTAAAAATCAGATTGAACCTCTTATAGTAGCAAGATAAATTGACCTCGTAATAATTTTGGAATTGCCTTGACACTGGTCTTGACACTAGTCTTCTTGTTTTTGGGGCAGTTTATTGCAGCCCAGTTATAGCATGTGCTCTGCTTGATTGCTCGTACCAGACATTAACAGTAATAGCGGTGGCTTAGGACCATGGAGACTTAATCCTAGTAACGGTATTGCGCAGAAATAACATTTTTTTCGGTATACAGGCAGAGATTTCTGAACTTTATAGGCTGACTACGCAAAAAAAATACTACTAACCAACCGACTCCATATGTAACTATGTAGAAAATGCACAGCAGTCCAAGGAAGCGTGCTGTTTTAAATTAAAGGCATAGATATGCAGACCTACACCATCTCGACTAATTATGAGACTTATTTTTATTAAGTATCTAGGGATAATGGAAAGACGACATAATGAAAGCTTGTCAAAACGCACAGAAACAAATGTCCTAAAAATGTATTTTCCGCACGTGACCAGTTATCTTTCGTGTTTGAATAGATGCAACGAAACGCACGAAATACGACAAAAACGTTTTTCGCTGTTTATTAATGGTGGAACTTTAATAATGTCCTTTGTAATGCTCTATTTAAAAAAAATGGGAGAGCATGACATACGGTCCATTTATTTCATTTGTTGCTAAAAATATCGCTTATCCAAACAATAATTAAACAATACATCGCTGCCTTCATCTTTCACCCTTATTGAAGCTTTAAACGTCGCAGGTTCCTACGAGCGTTGCTTTCTTGCTCCTTTTGCCGGTACTCTTCCATTTTAAATGCTAAAATATTTACTTTCTTTCCAATCCTCCGCTCGCGCAGAAACCCTTTAACCTCTTGTTTGCGTGCTTCACGTAGACTTTCATTTTTTCGGGCGTGACTGTCCTGACTCCATTGCATATTCACAAAATCACCGTCTAACTGCCTAAGCACCCGTTACTCCGCCTTCCTCCTTTAATAAGCACGTTCTTTTGCACCAATGGGGATCTTAGTACCGTTTTCATCCGTAATGTTGATAATCTTACTAAAATTATCCGATTATACAGATTACAGCTTCACAGTCTTATTTTCCGTGGTCAGGCGCTATATCGTTATCGACCAGACCCACCTCTTACACTTTCACAGTATCTTGAATTAACTTGATTAACGCATTTTAACCTCATTATTTGACCCTCCAATAAACGACTCGATAACACTAGAAGTTAAGCTGACAGCTTTTTCATATTGCTTTGAAAACGCATTCACTACGTCAGATTTAATCGAAACACAGCCTTTGACATCGCACCATTTAACGCACCGATATTTTGTCACCGTAGCATTACTTCGAACTCATCATCAAGTGTTTTTACCGCACGTGTGTGAGCCATGGCCGCACTGCTTAACGAATATGATGTTTCAAATTTAAGGCATAGATATACAGGTCTACACCACCTCGACCACTTATAGGATTTATCTCTATTATTGGCTGAGGCTTACATAGTTTCAATAAAAGTTGAGCTTCGATAGAATTGATTTTCATTCTAAAAATTAGGTATTTATTTCGGTACCTTACTCATAGCTTTGTTCTGCTGGATTTCTCTGTTAGCAAAATAAGAGTGCACTTAAAGTTACGTGGTTTCCGTATACAACGGCTTTTTATGCCGGCTTGATTTTGGCGTATCAAAAATTAGTTTTATTTACCTTAATCCATAACGGTGAACAACCACGGGTCAGGCAAGTATTAGGCTGTTACAAACGAATCCAGCGGGAAATCAAATAACTTTAATAAATAAAGTTATGATTTCTAAAATGCGTTAGAGATATTCTCTTGGTTTACGCACTTTTTTTCAGTACTTTTGTGTCTTGTGTACCGCTATATACCGCTGTACCATATGAAATTTCTCTATTCATGGCTTTTTGTAGTAAATCGGTAATGGGAAATTGTTTCTTTTAAGGCATGAAAAACCCTGTAATAACACAAGCCTAAATCAGGCGAGTAAGCGGATTGAAACTAACGTTGTATACTTTTTTGCTCGATCCAGAAAGTGATTGAGACATGGCGATGAAGACTGGCGTTGTTATCAAACAATTAGAATGCGTGCTTTCGGTTGCTATGCTAACAGTTCATGAGTCTTTTACAGAACTCGAGATAATAGGTTGCATTCATTGCTTCACTTTCGGCGAGTACCTCATAGTAGTAGCAGGTGCCCTGAGCATCGATTGCTAGTGCTACTGTCAATCCCACGCTATGACTCGAATTTCCCTCCAGGGCGACACCATTCTCTCGCCGAGCTTCTTCCTGGCTACCGATGGAAATTGAACCATGCCTCGTTTATGGCTACCATATGTTCCAGGCAAATTTTTTGTTGCTTAAAATTCCGCACATTGCACGCTTAATACATCACATGCATTTCCAGCTGGCCTGGAATTAATTCATGGGGGACCTGTTTTTTATTTAGCTTTCACATTCAAATATTTAGATTATAAATATGTAACACGGTGCATGTAAGACGTCAATTTTGGCCTACGGAGGCTCTAGTCTTTAAGGCTCTATTTTCGTAAAAAGTCAATTCAATTGCACCAAGGGGCCCCAACATCTGGGCGCCCGTTTGCTGGTCCTCAATGCTCCCGATCTCCGTTTTTGAAGAGTTTGTTCTAGTCACGTACCATGCTCTTCCTTAAGGCCTTTATGCCTAATATCTTTACCGATATCAGATAGATTTCTGCAACCCTGTGGCCGTTGAGGGACAAAAAAACTTGATTAAAGGCTTATTTTTCTTTTAAACCTATTCCTCCTGGAATAAATTCAATTGATTTTTGCTCATAATTTTCTAGATGATTGAACTATTTATCGGCCAAATTTCGCCTGGTAGCGGTGCGTAATTCAATATTCATTTGATTTCAAAGTTCACTGGATTTGCTTATAATAATCTAATACTACATGATGGGAAGATTAAAGAGGCCTTTGCAAACGGCATATAGTTTCGTTTATTAATGCACACATTTGTGAAATACATACCTGGTGAAGTTCTTTGCGGCTACAGAAGACTCGTCGAAGCTATTTACATGGAAATGTCCCGGTGGGTAAAATATGGAAGACACGCTTCATTTCATGCTAAGAGTTAGCCTTCTAACCCAATAGTTAGCTGCACGTCCGGACATAAAATTTTAAACATTAATTTAAGTAAGATACAGTGGTAGCTATTAATCGAAGTTAAGAATAAAGCATAGATCTAACGTATAGGAGAAGCAGGATATTAATGGTTGGACTTCAAACGCATTTTTGACAGCCTGAACTTAATTTCGATTCTTGGTAAATTAACTGCCAAACTTAAAAATTTGGTTCGCTCTAAAGTTTTAATGAGTGCATCTTTGGGATAGGTGTGATCATTATTCGGAAACTCATAGACTCAACTTTCCATGACCACTAAAAGAACAATAAAATTATAGGATACGATTTAAAAGGTAATACATCTTTGAAAATATTATTTCTTTCTATGCAACCTTTGAGCTCACTAATATAGATGCAAGAAAGCGGAAACACCTGCATCTTATATTTCTTCTTAGCTAAAAGTTATGTCTACCAGAAAGACAATCTAAACAACCTAACTTCAACAAAAAGAAAACAAAAGTAATTAATTTACCCTGAAACTATCTACCTTTTAAGCCCCTTTACTGGTAAAACTTTCTTTCGTTTTTCAGGGGCAATTGGTGTTTTTCCATGCGTTCGGACTAAAATTTAGTTTTATGCGATCTATTGCGAATTTGCAAAGTTACAGCTTATGAACAAACATTTTATATATTCGGAGTTCAAGTTTTTATCCCTAGAAATCCGTATCTCTTTAACCGCTTAACTTTTAATCCCCTTTTTTGTGAGCACAAATGATGCGGTAGAAGCATATGATCCAAAAAGTAACACTTCTTTCGAAACGCTGTCATTTTGACATCAAATGAAGATATTAATAGGGAAAGCTCTCCGCGGGACACTAAATCGGCTTAAAAATGTCTACAAATAATCAAAGGTCCAGTCCGATTATTTCTTGTGAACATAATAATTAGCATTTTTGATTTGCTGGACGTATTTTATGCGAGAGACAGGTATCCTTATATATGTTGTAGTGAAAAAAAACGTAAGAGTATAACACGTTTGAGATGGTTGGACAAAATAGACCAGTTCAATTAGGGAGGGGAATTCGTGATGGCTTAAAAAAATCATTAACTAAAGTTTGATTAAAGACTATTAGTAGTCAGCCACATGCGCAAAAATCTGAGTTTATTAAGGTATTCTTTTAGTCTAGGTTATTGTAATGAACATTGTCAGCCGGTCTTCAAACATGGCGGGCGTGCATAGCAATTAGTGAGTTGCAACGGAACTCATTAGATTAGAAGTAAGGTTTCCGAATTATAAAAGAATCAGGGAACCCCATGAACTTAACTTGTTACTGAATGTGAAACAATATATGCGATCTTAGTAAAGTCGTGGTATCACGAATTATTAGAATGGAACCATTATGTTGCTACCATTTAGAAAAAACAATAGCACATCCTATAAACCTTAGGTACTGTCGTGCTTAAAGCTGCATGAAAGATCTGTTGAGCTTGAACAGCAATAGGTTTGCTCGTAATTAAACAGACATACCTAAAAAACAATATTAAAAGGGTTAGATGAAGTTCATTGTGTATGTACAAAGCGATATGTGAAATTTAACACTGACATTATATAGCTTAGAGTAAACGAAATTATCTAGAAACAACAGGAAAACGACATAATGATAGCATAACACAAGGCCCATTTATTTCATTTGTTGCCAACCATGTCGCTTATCCACCCAATAATTAAAAAATACATTGCTTGCCTTCATCCTTCACCCTTATTGAAGCTTTAAACCTCTCAGGTTCTTACGAGCATTACATTCTTGCTCCTTTTGCCGGTACTCTTCTGTTTTAAATGATAAAGTATTTATTTTCTTTTCAATCCTCCGTTCACGCCGAAACTCTTTAACTTGTTGCTTGCGTGCTTTACGTTCCTTCGGACTTTCGTTTTTCGCACGTAAAACACCGACTGCCCTGGCTCGACTGCATATGAATTTTGCGTAATCATCTGCTTTTACAAAATCACCGTCTAACTTTTTAAGTGCTTGTTTCGTCAGTCCTCCTCCTGCAGTAGGTACCCCTTTTGCACCGAGGTGGATTTTAGTACTATTTTTAGCCGTAACGTCGATAATCTTGGGCCGATTGTATAAATTACTATACGTTGAGAGTATAGATTCACAATCCCATTTTCGGCCATCAGGTGCGGTATCGTTGTCGACTAGATCTAGCACCTCAACTTTTTCAATGTCTTGGAGTGACTTCATCACACGCATTTTTACCTCACTATTTGGCTCTCCGATAGACGTCTCTATAACGCCAGAATTCAAGCTGACAGCTTTTTCATATTGTTTCGAAAGCTTATTTACTACGTCGGATTCAATCGGAACAGAGCCTTCGATATTCTCACCATCCAACGCACCGACATCTTTATCACCGTACTCATAGCCAAACATTAGTTCGAACTGATCATCGAGTGTCTTTAGTCCACCTGTGCGACTCATGGCTGCACTGCTTAACGAATACGATGTAAATTTTGATTGGATTTCTTCGTCAGCAAATTTGATTCTGCCTCCCATGCTCAGAGTCTTATGTTCTTTTTTTATTTCGTCGTATTCTCCCTCATCATCATTTGAAGAACAAGAAGCATCAAGCATTCTATTATCATCACTGCCAGGGCAAGCTTCAATATTTTCAAAGGCGTTTGCAGATTCGCGTTCCGAATAGTAGAAACGACGTGCTGTGAATTCCTCGTCACCTGCGCCTAAATCTTCAATACAGTGAGCGCCCCCTGATGCGAGGGCTACGAAATCGTCCTCAAGTTCATCGCATTCGAAATCGTCATCTAATGCCGCTATTACGTCAGGATCCCAATCAGGACGGAGTTTAGTTGAAACCCCTTTATGTAAGTGACCAATGTGTTCTTCAACGTGTGACGGAAACACAGAGGACGGAAGTGAAATTCGTGGATGTTCCGGTGCAAGGGGCTTTTCTTGGCTTAATTTTTCCTCCTTCTGGATTTCGCAATTGATCTCCACCTAAAATAGTACATTAGTTAATAGTGTCTTTTCAATATTCATACCTTTTGTTAAATATATTACTCATGGAGATAACATAATAATTGTGTGTTAAGTCTATAAATTATGATCATAGTATGAAGTGAAGGCATAGTATGAAAATTGGTATGGAGCAACACATTGTTTAAAAGCGTGTTAGATTTATTAAGAACGGGTCTTGACGTTGCGTATGATACACGATGCAAAGTTCTTGGGAGAACATGATCGTTGAGTGTCTCGCAGATAAAATAGTGAAATCCGTAAACCGCGTACCAAGTTAGACATGTCGAGTAGCTTTGCCATAGTCTTTTCAAAGCAAGTTGTTCCAAGCCCGATAAAATTTTGGGTGCATATCATTCATTTTCAGTTTATCGGGGATATCGTCACACTTGTGTATCGTCTACGTCTTTCACGAAAAGCGGCATGTTACAGAGTGGGTAGGCTCGTTTGTTTTCCGCTAAACCATACAGAGGTAGGATACGCCTGAGGAAGTCTGGCTTTGTTCAGACAAGAACGTTAAGTTGGTAACAAGCTAGTCGCATTCGAACGGTAACCCATATGATTTGCAGAAACCTACTTTAAAATTAAACAGCGTTAGGGCTATCTTGAGTCTGAGTTTCCTTAGGTCATAAGTCGTTGTAGCTACTATGAGAGTCCTCTACGCCTTCTACGAGATATGTTTACTGAAAAAAAAATGTCCGTTGGATACTTGCTAACCAAGCAAAGGATTCGACTGAACAACGAGATCGTTTGCATATCAGACGAAATCCCCAATATATGCTCCTTAGTCTTGCTAGAACGTTAATTCATATTAATTTTGCACGCCAAGGCTTCACTGAAGACCTGTTATACCGCAGACCACTTAAAATATACAACAAAATTGACTGGACTCAATTGAACTTAATTGGACTCAGGCAAGTGCTACAAAGGTTTTGCTTAATGACCGTCACCGTGGGGAATCATGAAAAGCACCAAACAATGTCCAAATTGATCTCCAGCGTGTCACGGCATTATTGCTAAATATACGGGACTGGTGCAAAAAGGTTTTAGACCATACAAAAAACAATATTCTTGACTGTATATGCTTCTTCACAATGACATTTTTGTGACGTTTTGTCTATTGATCGCTATGATATTCTTTGGAAACATCTTTCTTTGTCTATGAACACATTATCAGAATTTATTCGAGTCACAAAAATTACCTTTAGCTTGTACTCCAATGATAGGCGTGTCTATTGGCAAAAAACAACGTTTTCGACATTTCTAATTTCTCTCCCTATTAAACCATAGCTGAGAGTACTACTCAAGACTAATTTGCTCAAGTAAACAAATGTCGTCTTAGACGTAGAGATCGCACTTCACTAGATTTTTCAAATTCTTCGAAAATCGCCTTAAGATTTTTGAAGAAAGAACATAGTTGGGTAAGCTTAACGAGCTAGAAAACACTCGCCGTACACACAACGAGTATGTTGGGTCATTTTTGTAGTTTTTTACGTTGGAAAAATATACGAAATAAAGCAGATGCCGAAAATTTTCTTTGTTATTTGACATACCCATCTCTGGAACATAAAGGAAACGTAATTTTTTTGAGCTGGACAAAACGATGATAATATTAGAAAAGGGAAACAGACTAAACCTAACTTATTTATGCACGCATATGTATATACATATTTGATAATGTCGATAAGTAAAAATGTGTATAGTTTATTATAATAGTGACTACTTTTAAAACATACAGGCTATATTTCCTATACAGAAACCATTGTCTCCCATATTATTTATTTTTTAGAGGACTTTGGGGTTTGCGCTCAAGTTAAACTTCGTCGAACTTAAAATAACAGATCTGTACGCGAGAGACAACATTTTAAAAAAGTATAAAACTAGGCCACCGGCAGCCCAGGGAAAGGGAGAGAATTGAAAGTCGGCAAAACTCAATCAACAATCAAACTAAGTACATTTTGTGAAGACCTATGGATGAATGGTATAGCGATTGACAATATCTAACACCTAATAATAATGTAAAATTTGGCTGAAGAGATGTAACCATGGCCTGAATCGGGAGTTAAATCCCCGCATGTTTTGGAAAAATAGCAATTTTTAATGATTACTGGGAAAGAGTGCACTTTCTTTTTTGTTCTATTATGCTGCTTATTATCATTCATCCATACGTTGTGTGAAACAGCATAGAAGAATACTATTGGAGCTTGTGTGTGCTTAGTGAATTATTACAGTCATCACGGTGGGTCATTATAGTCGAGAACGAAGTGCTCTCATACGTCTCTCTTGCATCTCAACCAGCGGTTTAACTTTTTCGTCTCTAGCATGGAATATTTTGACATTTAGCAATTATTGTGTTCACCACATACCTGACCACCTTGTTTATCAATACGAATAACCCGTTCCATTTCTCCTACGACCCGGACGTCACGCAGATGTTGCAGATAGTTATAGTCATCATCAAAATAGATTCCGTACTTACGCTGCTCTTCCAGCCTTTCAGTATAGAAAGAACATTTAGCAATAATTACAAATACTAGAGAATTAAAATTGTCACAAAATATCTACATACTTAGAGAACATTAAGTTCGGTTAGAATACAGCATACATTTTTAAGATATCAGCCTAAAGCCTTCATAATGAACTGCGTTATAATTTATTTCGTAGCTTTCTCTGAAAATGTTCTCTCAGAATTTTTAAATCGACCTTTTTATGTGTATCTACAATATTATTATAAATGCATGCTTAATATAATTAATATTAAAAAAAAAAATAGACAACGCCCGGACGGTGGCTTGATGTTCAAATTTCCTGTACGCAGTTTTCTATCAATGGAAACTTATTTCAGAACTATCTTTTTTAACTCCTATAACACGTCAAATACCTTTTTTCGATGGGTATTTCACGGGAATGATATTCTAGCTCAACAGCTCTTTGGGATATCTTCTCCACCAGTACATTTTTAGGCGCTGAATTGTCAGCAGCAAGTGGATCAACCTGTACTTATAATAGTATTACAAAATCGCACATTAGTTTCTTTACTACCTACGGCTAGGCTTGGGATTCGAAGAGTCAAATTTAAAGCGTGACTTTTAAAGCTGTTTGAACCATATCAAAGCACCAGTCTGCGGTAGCGCAAAGTATATTTTTTAAACACAGCATATCATCGTACTTCATTTTTGTTCTGCCTACTAAATTAATTTAAAGCAAAGTATCCGTTAAGATTTACCTCATTACTGACAGTTATGATACAATTAACTAATCTATAAAAATCTTAAGTCTTAGTTGTAAGTTCCATACAAATTTAAATTTAGCTTTTAAATTCAATATTTTGCTTTCATTTAAAAAAAACATTTGAAACCTGCACAACCTAGGAATGACCTAATAATCTAGATAGGACTGTAAATACCTGATTGCGCGGGACAATCTCGAAAGTCACTGACTTCCGAGGATCAACAAATCTCCTCTTATTAGTTTTGGGCATTTTCTCAACACGTCACCACATATATTTCCTAACGAATAGTATATGATTTTAGCATTCTCCGTTTACTCCGCTGGGCACGTGTGCCATAATGCCAAAACACGAATGAATGCATTTTTATTGACAGTGTCTTGTTGCGGGCGGTTCAGCTTGAAGAAGAATTTTAGTTCGTCCAAATATAATATGATTTTCACACGGCAGGGATCGAGTGGCTGTGGCCAATTCACATACTTATTGAACACTTCAGTCTAACCAAGATTATTATCATTTAATTGGAATCTTGTACATAGGCAGCTCATATAGATATTCTGAACTAAAAACATTTTTTGGCCTCAGACAATAATAAAAAGTACCACATAAAAGTCTCGAAGTATTCTATCCGCTTTTGCATTCGCTCATCGCTCAATTTCCCTACCTTTTGTTTCAAAAACTTGTTTTGGAAATTCCAGTTTATTCAACTCCAATTTATTAAATATGAAAGAGATCGTTTTTGCAGATTAGGAAAAGTTGCCTACTTAACCTTACTAGCATGCTATGCTCGCGCACTGTATGTCCAAAATTTAAGTTCTGGTCTTCCGTTTTTTTCTGAACACATATCTCTCTACTACAGCTAGAATTAGAACAAATTCAGGGCTAACGGTTAGCTATTACTGTATTGCAGGTATGTATGAACAAAGCAGCTTTATCGACCTTTTGCCTCAGGGTAAATCTAACAAACAAATCGGCATAGACTTGTGTGGCAATTAATATAAAGTGTACATTCTGAAAGAAAACTATATATATATATATATATTAAAAAAAAACAAACGTTGTACATAGTTTGGCTCGATAATGAGCATACTGGGTCTATTGCAAAGCGGACCTTCATGACGAAAGGCAGGGCATTCACTTTGAAAATTCATGCGTTTTAGTAAGTCTTACGTCTTTGTAACCGAGGCAAGTCGCCGTACAAGTAAAAAAGAAGTATCGGCACACAATAGTAAAGGACGTCAAACCATTTGTGCAAAATTATGCAAAGAGTTTGTTAGCAGTTCGTAGTCGAGTTTAGAGTTGAGTGCGTAATCTGATTTTGATCCCTGGGAGAAGTGACAGCTACTGCGAGCACTGCAAATTGGTGTCATAACGTATGATAGCAAATGAAGACCCAAGCTGTTTGTTTCGCACAGTGGGAAAAATGTAGGGTGACTTTTCGTTCGAAGGCCGATGGGATTTTTATTGCTTTCTATGTGCACTTAAATACCATTATACGTATTTAAAAAGGTGCGTATTATTCCTTATAGATTATAGAATGATAACTTCATTTCTGTTTGCATAATTAGAAAGTCATTTGTCGTTTCAATACACATTCGGAAAAACAGCTGGCAATGCTGAACGCTCGTTTGGACTTGAGAATCGACACGGTCAGTGAAGACATAATTGGTAGGACCTATGCCAGTAATCGACTTCAACCATTAGTTCGGCGATGTCAAGTTTAATGTGCCCGTTGTTAGCTTCGGCAAACATTTATTTGAGATTACCTTTTCGCCATTACTAGCTTAGTTCTTCAGGCCTTCTTCTTCTGGATATATTTAGACAGTCTTCGTCTAGATACGCAGACGTTTGTTCGCTAGCACGTTTTAAAATCGACACATCGATTTGTTTACATCAAAGCACTTGCTAGCAGCACGATTTGCGGTACTTCCACTAGCCGCTGCTTTCGTTAGTGGCTAAAATCAGAATACCTCAACTCGAGTGCGTGGTGCTGACTAATTCTTTATATAGTATGAAGTTCCATTTCTGTTGCGCCGACAAAAAATCGGTGATCTAGTTGACAACAAAAAACCGCACAGGCATCAAATGCCACCAAGCATCAGTGTTAAGTAGTAGTTCTGTGTTAAGAACACGCATATTTTGTCGGATGCTAAGACACTAATTATACAAGAGAATTGACTAGACAACCAGACTCGATTTTAAAAGATGCAATTTATACATATGTACACTTCCACGTTAGCGGGAACGGTTTAAATAATCGGCAGAAAAAGACGAAATTTGTGTTAACATTTCTGGTGGCAAATTTTCTGTTTACTGTTTCTGTACTATATTTGTAGAACGCAAAATGATATATGAGAAGAAAATGAGTAATTCTGCTACGAAGAGTAGTGAAACCTCCATAAAAACCATATCTGCTATTGTAAGGACTGCCTCAAATGCACATGAAAATATATCTGGGTTAAATAGTTAAAAAGGAAGAGTGAAAGTAGAGCTAGTTAGATGAAACTTTATGACTTTTGATCCTCTGATGTGTTACTATATATATATATATATATATATGTACTGAAACATTTCGCTCGCGATCGGTATTGGCTTATTGTATATGAATAAAGTAGTGCATATTTAGTCTTCATATAGCAGTGTGAGAGCGGGGCTTTGCTTTATAGTGCGATATTTGAGAAGGATTATCGATCGTTTCTGTTAAGTTGATCACATATATTATACATTGACGTTATAATTGTGTTACTGTAATAGTCCTAATACATTCAAGTGTCTTCTCATAAGGCCCTGTAGGTACTGTAATGACGCGAACGTTACTAAATGGATTAGACATGTCTGCGGCTATGTATAAGCAGAGAGAGTAGCTGTGAAGCACTAGTTCCTTCTAACCAGTTACAAAGCTAAGCCGGTCCGCTCTACTCTGCTAGCTATAATGGGGCGGCTGGCAACATAGATATGCTGGTGAGCTAACTCATCGAGTAACTGAGCGATTCGACGTTGCCGGCGGAATTGACGCTCTACAGGGCCCAATCGAGTAGATGACGAAGTGTTGAGCGCCTCAATCGCGGGTAATTGACCGACCAAATGATGTCGAGGATGCGATAGTACCTGAAAGAAAGACTTCTAGATGTGCTTCGTCGCGCCTGCATAGGACCCAACAAGGAGCCATTTCAAAGAGTCGCCAATGCCGGTTTTTTGGTGACAGGTGACAAATGGAAATGCGCTCAAACAGAGTATATTAAACAAACACTGCTGGGCGAACTGAAGCTCAAACTCAAATCCTGTGTGTTCCTCTCTGACGCCCGAAGAA